TTAAGGAAATTAAAGAAACTCAAAGAGACGCGATAGACTATTATGTCTTCGTCTTTTCACTCTACTCACTTGCAGGATCATAGAGACGCTTATATGCGTTAAGTAATGGCAAAACTATCATTTATCCTGAGTTGTGGGAAGTCAATAAGGTTAGTATTTATTTTTACATATTTAAAGGAATCAAATTTATTTGATGTGCGCAGTTGAAGTATTATTTATTTAATATTGCAGGTGTTTGTCCCTGTTATGGAACACCGTCATTGGTTTCTCATCGAGCTTCAACTCCCATCACTGAAGACGATAGTATATGACAGTTGTTTGAATTACATACCATTGTCTGCTTTGAAAGATATTATTTGTAGGGGATGGACAGATCTTTTATCTAAATACTTGGATGCAATTGATTATTGGACTAATTCAAGAAACGAGAAGCTGAATAAGTTAAAAGTTACAATGATGAGAGACGAGACAGCGCCATAACAAGCGTCAATAGCCAGAGGAGATTGTGGTCTGTTTGTATGCATGTGCTTGGAACGTATGACGAGAGGAGGCGAACAGTATCTACCTCCGAGAGATAGAGATAGAAGTGCAGTAGGGTTGTGGTTTCAACATTTCTTGGCTAGAGAGATATATGCGAGACGTTGCCTACCTAGATCCAGTTGTTGATATGCTATGCGTAGGCAACAAGGGACTTGTATTACAAGATATTTCAAACTATTTCAAGTAAGTGGTCACACATTGTCTTGCATGTGAATGATCATGACAGCTGCTCAATTAAGATAAACTTAATTTCTTTTTTATTTGTTTTTTTCTTTAGATAGGAAGCCTAATTCTGATTTGCAATTATTATTTTCTTTTTTTATCCTGAAATATGGGAATGACCATTTTTTTTATATGAATTGAAGGTCTCGTTAAAAACCTCCTTCATGATTAAAAGAACTTATAGATAAGCTCTTTAATTAGCGGGAGGAGGAAAAAAGTGCCTTAAGATTTCATTAATCATTAGAAAATACAAGATACAACCTAAGAGCCACCCCCAACATAAACATAACACCCAAAGCATCCATAAACAACCCTAAACAGCAACATAGACTCATCCTAATCCAACTTAGCAACAATATTAGCCTCAAAAACAGACTGACTATACTAAAAGCCTAAATATGGCCCGAAAGACGCCACAAAAGAAACAACGATAATAGAAGATAGAAGCCAAGTTCTAACACAAAAGCCAAAAGCTTCCACATGAAAAGAATACAAAACAACAAGCACATAACCGCTTGTCTGCCACTTTAAACTTGTCCTGACAACAGACTGTAGTAACCAATTTGTCCATGCTGCTACACATTCTCCCACGCTGCCCATACTTTGCTTTTCCAGCCCATACCCTATTGTTTCTGCACTAACACTCCACTAATGCAGCACTAACTCTATCATGTTGCAACACAAAACAATAATAAAGACGGTTTAAGAGTCTTCGAAAAAGTATTTAATATCAACCGATTAAGAGTCTTCGAAGAGGTATAATCTTATACTCACTTTAAATCAATTAAAATATATATAAATTTTTAATTAAAATGTTATAAGTCAACTTTTTATTGGTTTAACAGTTTACACTGAATTTTATCATAAAATAGATAAATTTATTAAGAGTAAAAACTATATTTATTATTAAAGAATAACAAGAAGTAGAATAGCACACATGACTTTTGTTTTATTTTTTCAATCATCAATTTAGTTTTTTCTAATAGGTTAACGGGGTTAACGATTGAGACTAAAATCGAATGAACTTGTAACACCCCCAACTGTACCCGACCCGAATACGAGTTTAAGGTGTCACATTGACTTTTCAAACTTTGACTCTTGACAAAATTCAAAGAAAATTTAAAACTTTCATTAAAATAAAAGCAGTTTATTTACATAAATCGAACAAAATAACCATAATCGATCAGAGCATATTCAACTCAATCAATTAGTACATGCCAACTATATTCAAAATAACCAAACATATTTAAATTATCTATTTTATGATCTGAAATTTTGGTAAGGGAGATGCTAACATGTCTTGCTCTTCTTCTCTTCTCGCTTCTGTAACCTACGTGTGAAACCATCACACGCTAAGTCTATGACTTAGTGAGGCATTAAACTTATAAAGGAAATTTTAAATGCTTAAACATGTATGAACATATCGTCTTATCATGCCACATCAAAACAATATAACATTATATATAACATACTATACACATATACATATTATGCATTATTTTAAATCTCTAATCTTATTCCAATATCAATATTCTTATCATTTATATCTTATAATTATAACCTCTTATATATATTCTTTTAATCAATATATTATTCAATTAACCAAGCAATACAAACACCATATAAATCATATCAGATTATCTAATAAGAAATACATGCATACATATAAATCATCGTTAGTCACTTATCATTTAATCACATAGCACATATACTTAACCTGCTTAATCATATACTCTACCTATACCTCCTTATGTCCTTGCTATAAAATTTATCATATCACAATATATATTTGTTATTATCTCTTGATTAGCCCATGTACATATGTGAGAACTATTGATATGTGAGTCTCTAGAGGTTGTGCACTAATGTTGTCACCATAGCTCGTATAAATGCACCGAAGTGCCACGTAAAATTGTATCGAAGTACCGCGTAGAATTGCACCGAAGTGCCATATAAAATGTCCTTAAGGACCACGTAGAAAATTCCTTAAGAATCATATACATATGCTAAAGACCAAATATGTGTCTCAAAAGACCTCATACATGTTCCAAAGAATACATATATGTCCCGAAGGACCACGTAAAACCTCGACTCTTGGCATGCCAACTATACCTCTAGCTCTCAAGACGCATACCATGGGCATTAATATTTATGTTTGTCACATATTCACACATTCGTATCAAATCAGCATATAATCTCATAGCTTCTTGTCACATAGATCGTGTGATATTCTCGTATAGTCTCATATCTCATTATTATATATATTATATCATATCACATATATTTGTATTCACATAGACAAATAGTCATACATATCCCTTTCACATAGCTTATATCATACCTTCATGTAATCACACATCTCTTGTCACATGTCTTATTATTACATTTTTATAAGATCACATGTAGTCAAGTAGTTCATTTCCATATAAATCGCACATACACGTAGATCACTTACTCGTAGAATATCTTCATAATACTCACATATCACATAGCTTATATTTGTTCTTATATCTTCTCATAACATATGCTCTTATAACTTTCTGTCATATCATTCTTACCATTTAATTTCACTTAATTCATAGTCATGTGGCTTATCTTATATACCTCTATTCACATACCTTATAATTACCTAATGTACTCCATTTCACACAGAGTCACATAATTACGTAATTTACTTACACATAGATCAGTACCATACCTAAATCATATAACACCCAATTCTTCCTCATAAAGTTATATTATATATATTCATATAATCTCATATTATCCTACAAGTAAATACTTATCTTATGGTTTGGTATCATCATTTATACTCAATTCCCTTCACTAATATATTATTCTCATATTACTCTATAGTCTAATCTTATTTAACTCATCACCTTTCTCATGTAGTCATATAAATCCATTACATTGATTCTTATAATTGATCACGAATACTATGTAACATGTATGGTCACCTATCACATAACCTATTTCACTTTCCCATGTAATCATATAGATCATTCATATTAATTCTTATAACTTATCACAATACATTTATTCACACAAATCCTTTAATACATAATGTAATATATATCACATATACCCAAATCAAACATATGCATATGATCATAAATTCATGCATTCTAATGTAGGAAATAGACTCGTCGCAAGTCTTATTTCCATTAAACATCATAAGCTAACTTGTATGCACTCACCTTGGCCTCACTAAGTTCCAATCCCCTTTTATGATTTCCTTTCTTCCGATCGAATCTTAACTTGATGGTCATCTCGGAACTTGTTTGTGCTCAATTTCTACATGTTTATACATTGATACATATCAGTATCTAATTGATGTATTCTAATCTATCATTTCCTATACCAAAAGAAAGACCTAATTCTACTTTCCCTTGAAGTGAATTGATACATTCTACAGTGTATCGATGCATCCCTTAACATGTGCATCGATGCACTACCCCATGCATCGATACACAATTTGCATTCGATGTTTTCATTTTAAGGGGTGTATCGATGCATCCCCCTTGTGCATCGATGCACTCACTACATTCGATGTTCAATATTTGAGAGTGCATCGGTACACAATGAATATGCATCGATGCACACAACCCAAAAATTCCAATTAAAGCAAAATTCGCTTTCTTTTTAGCTCAACTCTTCATAGTTCATTCCCTTTTATATTCTTAACTCACATACACATATTCAAACTCATTTCTATTCATTCATCACCTCTTTAACATCAAAATCCTATTCTCCATATATAATTCAAGAATTATACTAAATTTTCAACATGTTCTAAATCCATTTCTAACACCTCATATCTCTTAATTCAATCATTGATAAGTCAAATTCAACTTCAAAATATACTAACTCCCTCTATTCCAATAATTCACTTAAAAACTCTTCATATTTAATCCTTTATAACTCATCCATTTTGAAGATTCCACATGCTTTAATCTCTAAATAATCTTTCTTATCACCTCAAGAATCAAAACTAAGCTTAAAACTCAGGAATTAACCAGTTGAAATTAAACTTACCTTTGCTATGGAGCTTACGGAAAGAGAAGAAGAAGAAGAAGGTTAAACCAAAGTCTCCAGACTTTTCTATTTTCTTTTCTCCCTTTTCCACGTGCCATCCAAAAATAATTGCCTATCTATAATATCCAAAAATCCATGATATTTTCTTCATATTTATATTACTTCAATCTTTTATAGATCATTTGTTTTCTCAATGGCGAAGGAGGCCGGCGGCAGTAGTGGCGAAGGTTCATCATCGGAGAGAGGAGGAGGAGAGATCAGCAGAGGAGTAGGATCAGGCTCGATGGATTCGTTGGAATCTCGTTGGGTGTTCCGAGGCAAAGACGAATCTAAGATCGAGGACGAGGAAGACAATACAGATGTGTCGTATGGAGCTGGAGTAGATTCTGAAGACGAGGATAGTCCGGTGCAGTGTTTGATTCGTACCGAACCGCTTGTTGATTCTTTCGACGTCGAAGCTCTCGAAGTCCATGGCGCACATAGAAGTGACTACGAGGTATATTATTCTCCTTGTTTCATGATGCTAATGCAATAAATCAGTCCTCTGTTTGTAATTTTGAAAAATTGATTTTGTTTGGTATCTAACTTGATCGCATTGAGGCATACCTTTTTTTAATGTTCTTTAATTTTGCAGCTTACTTTTATGTGTATACTTAACTTTTGATCTCAGGACTTTGGTATAGGAAGGAGAATAATACATGCGTTTCAGACTCTTGGTGTTGTATTTGGTGATGTTGGAACTAGTCCTTTATATACGTTTAGTGTGATGTTTAGCAAGGCACTTATCAACGGAGATGAAGATGTTATTGGGGCACTATCACTAGTTCTATACACTTTACTCGTGATTCCTCTTGTCAAATATGTCCTTATCGTTCTTTGGGCTAATGATGATGGTGAAGGTATGCCAGATGTTCCTCAATCCCAATCAAGTCCCTGTTTATGATCTTTTATGCAGGCCTTAAATAAATATGTTAAATATTAATTCCATGTCAACTGTTTGACATCTTTTGTTGATGTATTTTATGATATTTTATGTAGGCCTTAAACAAATATGCTAAGTATATATTCCTTGTCAACTATTTTACATCATTTGTTTCTACTTTTTTCTTGAAGGTGGTACTTTTGCGTTGTACTCATTAATTTGTCAGCATGCTAAGGTCAGTCTTCTCCCGAATCAGGTTCCATCAAATACCCGGATATCTGGCTTCATGCTAAAGGTGACGTCTCTTGAGCTCGAGAGATCACTTAAAATAAAGGAAAGACTAGAGACTTCATTGACTCTGAAGAAACTTCTTCTGATGTTAGTGCTTGCTGGCACTTCTATGGTGATAGCTGATGGGATTGTTACCCCAGCAATGTCAGGTTTTTATGTACTATTGTTCTTTCATCTCTTTTTTTTTAAAGAAGCATGTTATGATAGAATACAAAGTATGTTTTCATTTTTAATTTTCAGATGATAACTTTTGCATTTTTATTTATAGTTATGTCTGTTGTTGGCGGTCTGAAGGTTGGAGTTGGTGCAATTGAACAAAGTAAGTTGTTATTCCATGTTGTTATCAACTCTATAAAACATTATTGCTTTCCTGGCTCACATTTCCACTGTTTGTTAGTAAATTCTATCAAAGAGGAGATTCTTGTTTCTCAATTGACCTTTTTGGATAGGAACCTTTTGCATAATTTAACTTGTATGTTATTGAAACTTATTTGTTATTTTAAATATAGCATGCGATGGTTATTAACCTGTAGATCTCATAGCTTGATCATGAGTCTACAATTCTTCATTGTGTTTCTGTTGCTTCCTTTTTCTATAGTCAGACTATAGTTTCCAGTTTGGCTAAATGTTAAATCTGCATGTATTTGAAACAATATGACCTTTATGATTTGCTATATTATTACAGGTAAATAGTCATTAACTATTATGTTTCCTTATTTTCTTTTCTTTATTTGCAGATGAAGTGGTGATGATATCAGTTGCCTTTCTTGTAATTTTGTTCAGTGTACAGAAGTTTGGAAAAAGTCAAGTAGGACTTGCTGCAGGCCCTGCTTTGTTCATATGGTTTTGTTCTTTAGCAGGCATTGGAATTTACAATCTTGTTAAGCATGATGCAAGGGTCTTGAGGGCATTTAATCTTGTTCACATCTATTTATACTTCAAGAGAAACTCAGTTAATGTGTGGTATGCGCTTGGAGGTTGTCTTTTATGCGCAACAGGTAAACACATTAATAAAAGATTATTGTACCTCAAGGTTGACTAATATTATTATTTTTAATCAATTTCCCTTCTTTTGTTAAGGATAACTTCCAAGAATGTCATACTGCAAAATCTCTCTGTTGCAACCCCAGAAATTTGTTGTAGGAACGTCACTTCTAGTTATCTCACATTATCCCAACTTTTTTTAATGTTTATCCTAATGCTTCCTTTGATGTGTTGCAATGTAATATTTTAATGTGTTTACAAAATTCAGCTGAAGTATAGCATTTCGATTCAGTTTTGATGAGTTTGAAGTTGGAAATTAATGGTCATATTTCATTCTATATGATCTCGTTGTGCTGACGATGGTTTATATTTCAGGGTCTGAAGCAATGTTTGCAGACCTTTGCTACTTTTCCGTACGATCAATTCAGGTAATGCCTTAATGGAGCAAGAGTTCAACTTATCCTCTGCATTTTGTATGTCATGTGCTAATTGATGGTGATCCTCTACTCTAGATCTTACAATCTTTTGATTTGTGTGATAGTGGTTGTTTGCAGCTGACATTTGTCTTTCTCGTATTGCCTTGCCTATTGTTGGGTTATCTGGGTCAAGCAGCATACCTTATAGGAAATCATAACGGTGCTGAGCATGCTTTCTTTTCTTCAATTCCTAGTAAGTTTCAGGTTTTATCATACATGTGTTATCTGATCACCAATTATTTGTATTAGATACTATATTTTATTGAAATATGTCGTGATTGGCCTCCTTTAAATGGGAAACTGTTTTTGCCCCATGTAGGTGGTGCGTTTCAGCCAGTTTTATTGATAGCTAATATTGCCGCCTTGATTGCTAGCCGAGCAATGACAACAGCAACATTTTTGTGCATAAAGCAATCATCTGCTCTTGGTTGTTTCCCTCGTCTTAAAATCATTCACACATCTAAAAGGTTCATGGGTCAGATCTATATTCCTGTCATAAACTGGTTCTTGCTGGGAGTTTGCCTGGTCATGGTTTGCTCCATCTCAAGCATTAACGAGATTGGAAATGTGTACGGTAATATTTCTTTATAAGTCTCATTTGTACTTTTGGTACTAACAGCCGGCACCTTTATCATCATTGAATGTTTTTTTGTTCATGTAACTCATAAAAGTCTAGGTTCTTTGTAGAGTATAAAGAAGTAATATGCAATTATTTTTATCGGGTGCTGAAACAAACTACGGAGATAAAGCGATCTCCTTACCTTTTCCTTACTTCAAAACTAGATAGGATTCTCATCTTTCTAGTTATATATATTTGTTACAGGTATAGCCGAGCTTGGAGTGATGATGATGACCACTATTTTAGTCACAATTGTCATGCTTCTAATATGGCAGATGCACATCATAATTGTGCTGAGCTTTGTGATCTTCTTCCTGGGTTTTGAATCGACATTTTTCTCCTCAATTTTATGGAGTGTGCCAGATGGAAGTTGGATAATATTGGTCTTCGGCGTCATAATGTTTGTCATTATGTGGATCTGGAATTATGGTAGCAAGCTCAAGTATGAAACTGAAGTGACGCAAAAACTGCCAATGGATTTGATGCGAGAATTGGGCTGCAACCTTGGGACAATCAGAGCTCCTGGTATCGGTTTGCTTTATAATGAGCTGGCTAAAGGAGTACCGGCTATATTCGGTCAGTTCATAACCACACTCCCCGCTATCCACTCCATGATCATCTTTGTCTGCGTTAAGTATGTCCCTGTTCCCGTGGTGCCTCAGAATGAAAGATTCTATTTCAGGCGACTCTGCCCCAAAAGTTACCATATCTTTCGGTGTATTGCCAGGTACGATGCTCTGTTTCTAAACTTGGATCCCATTATCTTGCCTAATCCCGATTCATATATATATAGGTAAATGGAATTGTAAAAATGACACTGATACGGGAGTTGTGGAATTAATTTGTCAGCATCTTTCTACTTCCCTTTTTCTATGACTGCACAATTCCTTATTCCTCGTCTTTCTTCACCTTTTTCCCTTATGGCATTCTCTCGGTCGACTGACCAACCGCTTTCTCAGGTATGGTTACAAGGACGTTCGTAAGGAAAATCACCAAGTGTTTGAGCAGCTGCTGATTGATAGTCTTGAGAAGTACATTCGTCGGGAAGCACAGTAAAGGCAATTGGAAAGCGACGGTGACGAAGATGCAGAGTCTGAGGAGGATACGTCTTTCTCGAGAGTTCTCGTGACTCCAAATGGAAGTGTTTACTCGCTTGGTGTTCCTCTTCTGGCTGAGTACGGTGGCTCTAATAATTCCATTTCAGAAGCAAGCACCTCTGAGAGGGTAGTAAAGCCCGATTCCGATGCAGGTCCAACGGCATCTGATGCCGAGCAGAGTCTAGAAAGGGAACTATCTTTTATACGAACAGCTAAAGAATCCGGAGTTGTTTATCTTCTCGGTCATGGAGACATAAGGGCGAGAAAAGATTCATGGTTTATAAAGAAACTGGTTATAAATTACTTTTATGCTTTCTTGAGAAAGAACTGCAGGAGGGGTACCGCGAAAGGCCGGTGTGCGCCCAATCGGCACTCGATGATCGAAGTTACAGTCCACCATTCTGGTGATCAAAGCTGGGAGTTTGAATCAGCAAATATCTAGTAACGTATCCTTTTAACCTAGTTGATTACTACGTTCGTTAATGTTTAACGGTCTATTATTTTTTCCACTGTTACATTTAGCAGGTTAAGCTTCTTCCGTTGCTTTTTCTATTCACTACTATTCAATACATGTTTAAAGCCTGATAGGTCCTGAGTTTTTTCCCCCCTCATATTAAAATGCTTATTTTTTAAAACATTCTGATGTAGTCTCATGTTATTAGTATCTATGTTATCTTTGAGTTTAAATATTTTAAAACTTTAATTCTCAAATTAGAAAATTTTAATTCATATAATTCGAACATCATATATGCATGGACATGGGTATAAACATTTAATATAAAAAAATTAATGTCTTTAAACATATATTATCTTATATAAATCATCTCTTCTTTCAATAGGGCAACCACTTCATAAATTTGCATAGAGGGATGATTCGATGGCGGTGAAGAACACTAAACTGTTTTAAGAAATAAATGTGAACATCTTTACAGTAATTAAGAGGAGATTAAGGCTTCTTACAATGCTGATGGCATTCTTCGTCTGTAAGACGCATACTCGTTTTTGTTATTTCTTTGCAAAATGGGCTGTACACACTTCATTAAGAGAGCTTTGTTTCAGCCTCGGATTATGTTATTTCTTTGCAAAATGGGCTGTATACACTTCATTAAGAGAGCTTGGCTGTGTATCACATGATTCAGGCTATGGGTTTCATCATCTCCCAGTGGTGTCATAGAGATTATAATTTATTGATTACAAAGTTGATTCTTAATGTATGATGTTTTATTAATTTATCTAAGGGTTAAAACTAAAATAATATTGTGGTGATTTGAAGGAAAATATATTTTAATAGTTTTAATTGAAATATCATTTGATTGATTAACTCATCATATTTTTTAATATATGCATTTAATATGTAGTAAAAATATATTTTAACTGAATTAAGTTAAACGTTAAAAACTTGATGTTTACATATAGAGTAAATTAAGTTGGAAGGATTATATTTGTCTATGCAATATCCAATCCGAATCAAACGATTAATAAATCAGATACTATAACTAATAGTTATATATATATATATATATTAGTTTAACATTTGATTAATTGATTATATCAACTTAATCTGGGTTATTGTTAATTATATAGATTGTTTAAATTTTTTCGTGCACTTGTAATAAAAATATTCTTTTATCTATTATTTATATATATATATATAGCAAAAATACTAAAAAAATACATTAAATATATTAAGAATAAATTAAAAGGTGATATTAAGAATATGAAAGAAATACCCTTCAAGTTTGCATCAACACATGAATATCCACCGTAATCCGACATTGAGCTTGAATTAATGATAACCAAGAGGAGCGGGTGCCTCCCTCAATTCCTTCCCCTGAAACTGAATATCCTGCATTCACCAGAACCCCATAAACAATAATCATTAAGATCAGTTATCGAACCTTCGGAATCGAGACCTATGAGGACAGTATTTTCGAGTCTGTCCGAAATTCGGGCTACTAGCCTCATCCGGTAGGTTAGAGCTGTCATTAATTCAAGTTAACTCGAATAAATTTAAGTCCATGAACCAAGTCAAAAACAGGTCAAGTTCTGACTTAATTCAAATACCGAGCAACTGGATCAGATGTCGATCCGAAAACCATATTTTGTCTATGTTAAAATGGATGGCAAGAAGCATTCACAAAGAAAAAATAAGCATGGAATGTGGAAGAGACGAGTTATACATACCGAAGCGAAATGATTGACATCCCTATGATGAGATTCATCAGCGCGGATGACAGTTATAACATCCTTGAGCGTAGCATCTTTAGGCAATCTCCAGTAATCTATCGCAATGGCAGGGGCCGGAACGTTTTCGACTTCGCCACTTTTGATCGCTTCGAGATACTCGGTGTACGAGATGATCGCTTCCTCTTCCAAATACCCGACAAATCTATGCGCCAGTTTGGGCGAGGTTACATAAACAAGGAAGAAAGCGTTGAAGTACACCCCTTGCGCAGCAAGAACAAGGAGCCTCTCGTACCACTTGGGTTGCACAAGCTCAACCATCGTCATCAGATGCATCCTCTCGTTCTCGGCTTCTTCGAGTAAAGCTTTAATCCACCCGCCACTGTGCTGGAACTTACGGAGCGACTTGAGATGTAGAAGCATCCCTCCGACCATGCCGGGGACGGCTGCTATAGTTTCCAGCATCATTGCGTGACAGCCATAACGTTTCTGCATGGATCAAGTATCAAAAACAGGATCGGAGAATCAGATTCTAAGCAGGAGGCCTACAAATATCCGGACTCTAGACATGTGTATGCTACATGGAGAGGCACATGACTTTATAGTAAAGTACGAACTTAGAAAGTCATGTAAGAAATTTTCATAGAGGTGATTGTACCTCCATCCCTTCGACCCATCTCTGATTATGCATAAACTAAACCACAACGCAATGCCTTAGGATTTACATTCATGTCGAATAAATATTTAGATATGATTATATGAATGTGTATATGAACATGATCCTCTAATATCAACCGTAATGAGAAAAAAAACATTAACAACATACTAAGAACATTCTAAAATGCAATTGGACAAATTATAGAATATTGCAGTTATGGAACAGAGAAGGTAAAACACAAACCTGAAAGAACAAATCCATAGGAACCCGAAGGAATTTGACTGTCCTGTAAGCTAATTTATCCATGAAGTTCTGTGGCTCGTGGTGCTTTTTCACATCAATTGACACGTCTGCCTTGTACGTTTCCCATGGCTGCATCATAGAGCACAAACAAACAGCGCAAAAAAAAAATTACATCATCAAACTAAAGATTGGTTGAAATTTTTCATATTTACAAACCTTTTGAGATCATGTTTGTTTTAAAAACAAGGATAATAACTAGTTTAGATCTTTTAATCAAATATAAATGATAAATTCATTTATGTATCATTCAAATTCAACGATTTTATTCATTTTGTTTTAGGATCCAAACACGACCTTTGAAGATTGTGGTCAACAGTAACAAGTCAACAATATATATATATACACACGTACTTAATTCGATTTTCAGATTTAAGTTTAAAACTAATTTGAATTAGTATAACTAGTAGAAGCTTGATATGAATAATTTAGTTTAGAAACTAATGAACTGAATTGATCTTAATCTTCTTTAGAATACCTTTGATACTCGATTCGGTTTCAGATCAAAATTCTAAAAACAAGAGAAAGAAATAAAATCAACAAATAATAAAAGGTGAAATGGTACCATGAAGCAGTTCCAGGGCCAAACGGTGCCATCTTCTCTAGTGATCGTAGGCCTTGAAATCCCCCAATAACTCGACGCCACCACATCACCCTTCCCTTTCGTATCTTCCGCCGCCGAATTCTCACGTTCCTTCTTCTCCAAAGACTCTTTCTCCAATGAAGCGGGAGCAGAGCTCATCATCCTCCGCCACTCCAATCCTCCAAACGCCACGCCGCCGTTTCGTTGCCCGCTAAGCTCGACACTTCTCCCAACCACGGCGGATCCGAACACTCGGCCGCCGGAGCTGGTTCCGTAGTTGCTCCGGCCGTTGATCAGACATTGCTTCGCTGACTTCAATACAAAACGGTTCATGCTCCCTCTCATGAATATTCTTCAAGCTTTTGTTTTGAATCTCCGTTTGGCTCAAGATCAGCTATATATAGGAGGGTGGAGAAGCGGGAGAAAAATCAAGGGAAGTACACGGGGAGCAACGGTTTATGATTCGGTATTTTCTATTGATTTGGTGGTGCGTTATCCGCCGTTGACGGGACATTAAAAAACTTTAACGGCTTGTATTTCATAGAGAGTAAAAATATATGATGTGTAGTCTGCAGTACTGGATTAAATCTCCGGCGGCTTATAAAATTCTTCTGATCGGAAGTTTCTAGTCTTTCGATTAAGAAATTTGTTGTACCAAATATATAAAAAACATTAAGAATTGTCGAGAAATCAGTGAAATAAATATAAGATAATATTTGTTTAAAAATAATTTTTAATTATTTAACATTAAGCGTTCAGTAAAAGGTTTATTAGTGTGGGGATGAATATACAGTGATCTATAAATTCTGCTATACGATAGACTCCACCTTTGGAAGGAGTTATCAAAGTGAATGTTGATGGTACCTTTGCTGCGGAGCGTCAACTGTCTGTAATTGAAATTGTTACTCGTGATAAGTGTGGACATATTTGTGATGGTTTGACCCAGTTTTCTGTTAAATGTTTTGAGACGGATTTTGCGGAACTATTTACTTTACTCGTTGGTTTTAGAATGACTTGTAATATGAGATAGTCTGATGTTCAATTTGAAATTGATTCTTTGATACTCGTTCATAAGATTACACGAACTTCTACAAACATTTTCATCCTCGGAATGTATTTTCAAGAGGCTCGTACTATTTTTCAGGATCATCCTCATTTTTGTATTTTGTATACTCCTAGAGAATGTAATCAGGTTGCTCACACATTTATTAAGTTGGACTTTAAATTTGGGTGGTTCTTTTTTTTTTGAGTCGGTTTATTCCAACATCATTGCTCAGAATATTAAAAACGATGTCATTGATCTTTGATTAATATAATTTGGATACTCTTTTCCCCTTACTAGGTTTAGAATGAATTTTTAACGAGGCCCATGAGTTTCTTTAACAAAAATAATACCCGAATCCAAATTTTTAAAAATTATCAATAATTCATTTATCAGTGATATTATTTGGTTCGTGCCGTAACAGAAATAACATAAATAGTCGAATACAAATACACCACGTGGATGGACAAAATTTTGGTCAAAACTACAAGATTTTTGTTTTCAAGTCAGTGTTGCAAACCAAATCCAAAACTAAGTCTGACTGCCCAAAGCTATAAAGTTTGACTGACCAATGCCCAATAAGATTGAGATCACCTTATTCATGATGAACTCACGGTCCTCGGATTATTAGCATGGTTTTTAGAACTGGATCGATTAACGAATCGGTCATGTTATCAGTTTATTGATTCAATCGATCGAATCAGTTCGATCGATCAAAATAACCGGACGACATCATGATTATTTAAAAAATTAAATAAAAATACCAAAAATATTTAATAAAAAATAATTTTTTATATCACAAGTCATATTCAAAGCAAGTCATAACATATATAAGTTAAAAACTATAAAATCAAGTGAAACAAAATGATTCAAATTAACTACAACATAATATTTAAGGTAAAATATATTAAATAATAAATATAATTATATAACTATAATTAAAAAATAAATTTGGGGTTAAAAAATCATAACAAAATGATATTGTTTGGTTTAATTTTTTTTTAAAAACAATCTCACATGGCTAAGAAACATAGAAGAGCATCCCAAAAGTCTAAAGAGTAAAAATATGAGAACAAAACAATCTCACATTGCTAAGAAACATAGAAGCGCATCACAACTAACTTCTATAAATAATAGAGGTAATTTGGCATTCAAAATCATGGAGCCTTTTGGTGAGCATTGAGTAAACTATTCTTTCACTTCAATCAAGCTCGAATTTTAGGCTTCAATCGAGCTTCTAAATTTTTTTTTAGTTCAAGTCTTTTTGAGTTCAAGTTTCAATATTATATTTCGAGTTTGAGTTGAATTTGATAATTTTTAGCTTGTGAGTTTGAGTTGAGTTGAGCTTACTTTTAAAGTTTTCAAGTTCGAGTCGAGCTCAGCAATACTCGAGTTCGATTTGGCTCGTTTAACAAACGACGTTGTTTGGATTAATTTTTTTTTTAAACAAAAATCCCGGTTTTTTCCGGTTTTCAGCCGGTCCAGTTCGAACGGTTATGACCGGTTCACTAATAACGGTTCAATCGGTTTAGATTGAACCGGAATAAACAACGGTTCCCGATTGAACCGGTTAAACCGGCCGATCTGATCCGATTTTCAAAACAGAGATTATCAGAATAGATTTCTCATTTTAAAAAATAAAATAATATACTTTTAATGATAAGAATATATTAGAGGTTATAGTATTTAAGAAAAACAATTGATTCTCGTATTATTTTTTTTCTCTTAATATGACACTCTAATTCAAATTAAAATAATGTCTTACACCTCTCTATGGGGTAACATTCTCTTTCATTTAATTTTGTGATATCTTCGTCACAATTAATCATCACGTATGTACATCACACCCACCTTAATATTAACGTACTTTCACTTTACAAACGACTTATAATAGGTATCATATAGCTAATATCTTAATAAAATAATATTTTATTCACTTTATATCGTCAAAATCTTTTCGATGAATTTAAGAAAATATATAAAATAATATCTATTCAAAAGATTAAATATTTATTAATAAATATTTATATTCTTAATTTATGATATTTAAACCTAAAATCTTAAAAAAAAAATAACAAATCATTTAATCATTCATATCGTATGATAAATGCATTCTACGAAAAGAAATTGTGAGAAAGTTATATTAGTAGACCGCCACTCCTAGTCATCCTCATGTCACTCTGCAGACCACCACGTCACCGTTTCAACCCCTTGCTACACACAGCCTGGCGAAATCCCTCTACGTTATATCCAAAAACCAATCATTTTCCTCCACGTGGATTACGTTGACGTTAACACCTCTTCAATGACAGTTGTCTCTCTCTCTCCCTCCCCAAAAAAAACACACCTATAAATACTTCCTTCATTCCATTTCCCTTCACTCTGCAACAAATATTTTCCAGCAATAAGCTGTCAAATTGCAGTCGCAGTCGTATTTTCGGTCATTTCGTATTTATCGTGATTATAACTATAATGAGCGCTATTAGAAACTATTGCAGGTGTAGTGGGTATATCGGAAGACTACTATCGCTATTTCGTAGGCGTTATCGCGGTACAAACCGTTATTTGAAACCCTGCTCATGACTAAAATCAAAACCTCTCTTTACTCCTCTGCTATTTCCGTTTTACCCTTGAACATGGCTCAAATTTACCACCTCGTCGCCACTCTGCTCCTCCTCTGTTACATCAAGCTCTCCTCCTCCGAGCTCGTCCAACAGCAACCGCTTGTTTTGAAGTACCACAACGGTCCGCTCCTGAAGGGCAGGATCACCGTTAATCTCATCTGGTACGGCAAGTTCACTCCCATCCAACGGTCGATAATCGTCGACTTCATCAACTCGTTGAACTCGGACAACGCTGCGCTTCCCCCTACGTCGTCGTGGTGGAAAACGACGGAGAATTATACGTAAAAACAAAACAACCTTGAATAATGAATATTTAAGGGTTATTAATACCTGCTGTGTTTGAAATCTTCAAGTAACAATGGAAATATACATATCCAAATTTGAATATTATCTATATTCGAACTCGTCCCTTAAAAATTAGTTTAGATATATTTTTATATTTTGATAAAATAAATATTAGAGATTAATATACTTTTAAATGAACAAATGAATTAATTTAATTCAGAAAACAATTTAATGCGATCTTTTGACCAAAATTTTTTGTCGTTAATTACGGTACTGACATAATAGTTTACGGTGTTGACATAACAGTCTATAGTGATGTGACAGTTCATCTGTGATATTTGAGTTATTTAATATATTTGTCATGTCATCTTTCATGTTATTAATTACTGTGAATTGTCACGTCAATACCGTAGACCGTCATGTCAGTACAAAAAATTGTCACATTAGCACTGTAACAATCAACGACGAAAATGTTAGTTAAAATTTTACATTTGATTTATTTTCTAAGTTCGATTATCACATTGAGATAAAAGATAATACGATGGTCATATTATTATTTTTAAAGTGTAGGGACATTCGATGCATTTTTGCCTTATATTTTTTTATTGAATGTTTGTTTTTGTCCCATTAATGTTTCATAAGTTCGGTTGCCCGTAAAATTTTATTAGTTCATCTCCTAACTTAATTCAATTATGATAATCTTCACTCGATATTTACCTTGACCCAAAATTAAAAAAATCATTTGATATTAAATTTGACTCAAAATCAGGCATTTTCCCGAAAAATCATCTTTTTAATTTAATATTCCCGATCAGGCACCGGTCAGATTATATTTATCGATCTAACACCCTTTACAGTAAGGCGTACCCCTGCAACGTGCTATACGTTGATTTGGCGCCACGTGAGGTAAGGCACCCCCTATGGCGCGCCTTATGCTGACATGGATATACATGTGTATGGCGCGGGACAGGTTGGTAATTAAGGGTATAGCGTGGGGTAGGGGTCGCGCCTTACTTGTGATTCTGACACGCGTCAGAAAGGCGCGACCCCTGCCCCGCACTATATCCTTAATTAGCAACCTACCCCGCCCGTTCACACTCATCCCTCCCTATAAATACCCCTATTCTCAATCATTTTCATCACACCAAATCCTTTCAACTTCTCTCAAATACTCTTATATTATCTTATTAAGGTATATTTTATTATATTTAGTATTTTTTAGTAATTTATTTAATTATTTTAATTGTTTAATATTTTATTTAATTAATGGCAACAATGATGTTATATTTCAAACGCTGTATAAATTAATGGCAACAATGATGTTGGAAATCTGTGCTGCAACGACGACATTTTTCTACTACTTCCAACATGAACCTTTCTCGAAATCTTCGTTATCAGCTCCTCAAGAGTTATATTTTTCTTGAATGATATTTTAACACGCTCATTTGATACGAAAACAATGTCGGTTTCATCTTCTCGAATTTCTCCATCATAATAAACAATAGCTAAAAGTCGCGTCATTCTTAGAGTTTAAAAGTGCAATAATATTATATCTGTAAAAAAACAACTGAAACAAACCTGATTAAATAAATAATATATGACCAAAAATATAACAAAATAATTTTTTTACACATAAACGTAAATAATTTAAATAATATAATTTTATATTATTACCTGCACCGCAAAAATATTTCAACGTATGCTCCTACTTTCTAATTCTACAAACACAAATTAATTGAAAACAATTAGTATAATATTTTTTCAAATAATCATATATAACTATAAAATAAATATTATAAAAAAATTACCTTATAACGAAAGATCGAGCAAACTTCTGAATCAAATATAAGATGATTGTCGGATATTATTTTCTGATTCAAATGATTGTTGGTGACCGAAAAGTTTGGGAAAATAATGCAAGGCGCGGTCCTTGCACCACGCCTTGCATTATGCATGTTTGATAATTGAGATAATTGAATAGCGCGGCCCATGCCCCGCGCTATATCTTATGTGGCGTATGGCGTAGCCCTTGCCCCGCGCTATACACAAATGTATCTATGTCAGCATAAGGCACGAAGCAGGGGGCGCGCTTTACCCCACGTGGCGCCAAATCAACGTATAACGCGCTGCAGGGGGCGCGCCTTACTGCAAAGGGTGTTAGATCAAGAAGTATAGTCTGACCGGTGCCTGATCGAAAAACACCCAAAATCTAACAAAATATTGTTTCAAAATTAATTTGTTTATTTATTTATTTTTGTTTTAAAATATTAAAATTTTTAATGTATAGAAATTATTTTAAGATAATTTAGTGATAATTTGTCAACATTAAGCAATAAATTTTGTGGGCTTTACTAGGGTTCCTGCCTCAAATAGTCAGCTATTCTATAAGCCGTCATGCCACGAAAGTCAAGCAAACGCGTAAAGTTTCAAAAAAAAAAAAAAACAGTAAACAAAAAGCAAAATTTCATTCGAATGACTTCCTTTTGTTTAATGTCATCTTCAATTTAACCCCTTTGATTCATTCTTCCCTGTGTTTTTCCTTCCATCCTTTTTTTCCTCTTTTCCCTTTGTTTTGATGCTTATATTCTTCGATTTCCTAAATGGGTTTTGAACTTCGAAAGTTGGGAGATGATCAGATCGATGAATCCTTACCAGAAGACTGTGATGATTTTGATTGCCAGAAAATCTGTTTATCATCACCATCATCATCGTGTTTTAAATTATGTTCTCAGTTCTGTGGTGATGATGATGATGATGATGATGGAAAACGAGTGTTCCCTCCTCCGGTTCATCATTCGAAGTTGCCCACCAAGTATTTGATCATAATCTTCACAGTTCTCACGTTTTCGTTTTTGATTCTGTGCCTTTACGTTTATTATATCAGGTGTTATAAACGCCGATCACGATCAAATCGACGGCGTGAATCGACGACCGAGACCCGCCACGAGTTCCTCGATGAAGATCATGGTCCGGTGGTCGTTGATCATCACGTATGGTACATCAACACCGTCGGTTTACAGCCGTCCGTCATCGACTCCATCGCGGTTTTCAAGTATGCGAAAGGCGATGGTGTCGTCGATGGAACCGAGTGCTCCGTTTGCTTGACCGAGTTCGAGGAAGACGAGACTTTGAGGCTGTTGCCCAAGTGTAGCCACGCTTTTCATATTCCTTGTATTGATACATGGCTTAGATCGCATACCAATTGTCCATTGTGCCGAGCTCCGATTGTTTCGACCACGGCTAACAACGGATCGTCCTCGTCGAATGCTGGAACCGGAGTCACCGAGGGAACCCGAGTTGCGATTACGGAAGACGGTGGAGAATCCGAAGGTGGAAGTGGAACAAGCCATGAGGATGAATTAGCTATTGAAAATCAGAGACATTCAGGGCATCTTCAACCTGTAAGAAGATCGGTTTCGTTGGATTCCATGGCAGCTTCTCGGATCAGTCAGGCCATCGCCACTGGAAGCGGTTTAGATATCGAAACGGAAAAATCAAAAGAATCGAGCTCGACGATTGTACCTCGGAGAGGTGCAGAGAATCCGCAGAGTATTCTGAGACTAATGTCTATAGGTAGATCATTGCAGATTAGGCCAATTTTCTTGAAGAGATCCTTTTCTTGCAATGGGAAGTTCTCCTTGCCTATCTCGAACAAGAACCGGAACCCGCCGTTGAGAAGCTTTTGATCGACCGGTAGGACGACGGCGGTGTGTATTTTCAGGTGAGACATCTGAAAAACTAAGATGTCTAGCGAACTCTCAACAAAGTACGTGAAGCATGTATGTATACAGTATTTATACATATAACAAGTATGAATATCTTGATGAGGGTAACTATATCTTCTATCTAAGATGATGGGATTTTGTAAAATTTAACTTTTTTAATTAATATTAATAAGATATAATATTAAAATTTGTTATTTTGGATCATATTTTTAGAATATTTTGACTTTCAATGTTTTATTTTAGAATTAATTAAATAGTCACTTTCACGATAATTTTTTAAAGTATTTTGACCCATAATATTTTATTTTAAGATAAAAAATCTCATATTTTTAAAGCGTTAGCAGTTTGCTAACTAACGATTTTTATACACAGATTAATCTTTTATCTAAAAATGAAACATTGAATTCAAAATATTTAAAAAAATTAAAAAATCAAAATAATTATTATAATAAGCATTGAGGTTAATTTTAATGTTACCCTTATTTATAATTAGGGTAAATTATGTTTTTAATACATAAATTATCAATTTTTGTATGTTTGAATACATCAACTTTCAAATTTTTGAAAAACCATACTTAAAGTTTAATTTTTTTCATTTCATTATCCCGCCATTAAATTTTTTTTTTTGTTTCATTTTAGTACACCGTTCAAAATTAACATTAATTTTTGAAAAAAAAATGAAAGTTTAAGTATTAAATAGGCCAAAACCAATAGTTTAGGTACTAAACACGTTAAGTTTTTAATGACCATATACTAAAATGAAATGAAAATTAAACGTTAGAGATGACTTTTTAAAAGAAATAAAAATTTAAGTACTAAAATAGATTAAAAGTGATAGTTTAGATATTAAATGCACAACTTACCCCTATAATTATTGGGTTACTCAAAATTCAATTGAAACTCTTAAATCAGATTTGAAATGTCACATTTAGTGGTATAGCTTTATGAAATGACCAAGTAAAAGCTTATTCGAGGAAACCATCGATTAAAACAAATGAGTGTATGACCCACAATTATGCGTATAATACCTAATCTATTAGTTTTGGACTTAATTTTTTAATTTTTCAAAAAAATCATACTTAAAGTTTAGTTTTTGTTTTATTTCATTATCCCCGCCATTAAAAATTTAGTTGTTGTTTTATTTTAGTATCATGTTCAAAATTTAACGTTAAATTTTGAAGAAAAAATTGAAAGATTAGGTACTAAAATAGACCAAAACCAATAGTTTAAATCCTAAACCCGTTAAGTTTTTAACGACGGTATACTAAAATCAAATGAAAACTAAACGTTATATATAATTTTTTTTTTTAAATAAAAATTTAAATATTAAAATAAATTAAAAGCAATAATTTAAATATTAAATACACAACTTACCCTGTAATTATTGGGTTACTCAAAATTCAACTGAAACTCTTAAATCAGATTTGAAATGTCACATTTAGTGGTATAGCTTTATGAAATGACCAAGTAAAAGCTTATTCGAGGAAACCATCGATTAAGAACTAATGAGTTATGACCCACTAATTATGCCCTTAGACTTCCGAGAATGCGTGTATTTAGTTGGTGTCAAAACGGTGGGGCTAGCAACGAGGAATTTTCCTTTTTTTTTTAATTAATTATTAGTATTTAATCTATTGATTTATTAATTCAGTTCGGGTATTTCAGAGGCGAGAGCGACTCTTCCAACTCAATTTGCTCCATTCTCAAATACGAGGATTTGAACCTCTAATTTTACTTAAGAGACATAGTGTCTCATTCTACTAAATCAACTGGTTGTTGGTTTTTTCCCTCTTTAAAATCAAAGATTTTCATATTTTTATTAAGATAAATATAAAATTGAACTTTAATTTTAATTAAATATATATTACCATATATAAAATATAATTATATGTATAAAATTTTAATTAGTTTATATATATATAACTTTGATTTCGATTCAATTATGAGAAAATAACTTCAGTGATCGAAAATGCTTTATAATATACGATTTTAATCAACTTTTTTTAGATTTACAAAAATAACCAACAAAATCGCAACGCGATTTCAAATTCGCAACACGAACTCCAATTTCGCAACACAGTTTCTAAATTCGCAACTCGAACATGGAAATTTTCACAATGCGAATTTCGCAACGCTAATTATTGATATAGGTAAACACAACTATTCGCAACGCGAATTTCGCAAATCGAATTCCTCAATTTCGCAACTCAATTACCGATATAGGTAAACACAATAGAAAAAATCCGAGTTTGCCAATTTGAAATCTGAGTTGCGAATTTGGCAAATTCGTGTTGTGAAATGTAAAATATCGCCTCTTAAAGAAAAAATCATTTCGACGGTTCGTTTCTTTGGTTAAAGTTAAACGAACGAACGAACATGAACATACCCTCGTTCGTGTTTGTTCAATTCATTTACAAGCATATGTTTAGCTGAGTGATTCATACGTGGATTTAGCAACGGGATGTCCCAGGTTGAAAACCACTCCAGTGCATTTTATGTCATTTAATTTTTCTTTAAGAGGTGAGATTTTACATCTCGCAACACAAATTTGCTAAATTCGCAACTCAGTTTTCAAATTGTCGAATTCGGATTTTTTACCGGATTTTTTCTACCGTTTTTACCTATGTCGGTAATTGAGTTGCGAAATTGACGAATTCGATTTGAGAAATTCGCGTTGCGAAAACGAAATTCGTGTTGCGAAAATTTCCATGTTTGAGTTACAAATTCCAAATTCGTGTTGCAAATTTGGAAACTATGTTGCGAAATAGGAGTTCGCATTGCGAATTTGTTGGTTATTTTTGCAAATACAAAAAAATTGATTAAAATCGTATATTATAATACATTTTCGGTCACTGAAATTATTTTCTTTTCAATTATACATATTTAAAAAAATATTAATAAAAAACTAAATATTAAATAAGTAAAATTGTTGATGTATGTATATATATAAACACAAAATGATGCTACATAAATAATATTTTTTGTAATTTATAAAAATTAAAATAAAATTTTATGTTGTAAAATTATACGAAATTAAAATCTACATATTATATTATATATTTATCAAAAGTTTATATAGCTTTGATATATATCCAACCTTTTTTTTTATTATCTAGATTTGATATTTATGGACATCGATATCCTACATTAATTATAGTATGAATTTATAATTTGATATTTGTGTACTTTGAGATCGTAAATTAGTTATAATTTATTGATGCATTCTTTGTTAAATAGTTAATTGAAAAATTATTATATTTTTAAAAAATTTAAATGTCAATAAAAATATTTAGAGATATTTTTTTAAAAACAGTTAATTCTTTTAAATATTTGAAAATTTAATTTTTATTTTAAATTAATCTTTAATTTTACGAATATTATAATTTCATCTCTAAACTCTAATTCTTATTTTAAATTAACCTTTATACTTTTAAATATTATAATTTTATCTTTAAATTATGACATTCATTTTAAAATGGTCCCTAAACTTTTAAATTTTTTGATTTCATAACAAATCTATTATTATATACTAATAACATCAGTTAATAACACTTTTAAAAAATGATTAACTATCGTGTAAATATGTATTATTAAAACAACAATAGAAGTTTAATATTAGTAATTTAGTATTTAATATGGTACAAGGCACAAAATTTACCAACCCCTTATATTATTTTATTTAAATTAAAGGTAAAATATATAAATGGTACCATGACTATAGGGTATTGCTTTATTAAGTCTTCATACTATTAAAAGTTATAAAATGATCATTCGATTATAGACAAGGGCGGAACTTAGAATTTATTATAGCGGGGTTAAAATTATTTTTTATTTTCTATAAATACATTTTTTAATTGATGAGTTGATAAATTTTTCTTTATTACTTTTTTTAAAAAATATATTTTCTATATTACTTAATAATTAAAGATATAATTGGTGGGGGCCAAGGTTCCCATGGTTCCGCTTATGACTTTAGAATGTTATTTTATTAAGTGACTCAATTTATTTACTATTAAAAGTTGTAAAATGGTCACCTGGTAATTTCTTATGTTACAAAATCATTCTTTTCTGTAAAAAAATTGACAGATATCTAAGGTGGACGTTAACATGATGACTGATATATAATAGTCGTTTGAGATTCTGAGATCATATTTTATCATACCACAATCAACATGTTAATGTTCAACTCAGAATTCTGTCAAAGTTTTTAAGGGAAAACGACAATTTTTTTAAGAGAAAACGATGAGTTTATAATATAATGAATAGTCGGTGACTATCTCAACAAAGTAACACTCTATAGTCGAATGACTATTTTGTAATTTTAACAAATAATAATTAGTTTAACTTTAACTTTTTAAATCTAATAATAATTTATTAAAACCAATTGAATTCAGTTCAATCATATCTATGTACTGGGTAAGTTTATCCGTTTCTTTTTAACCTAAAGTAGCTTTCTTTTTTAACGGAAGGAATCATTTGCTCATCGCCAGTCACTGTGCTCGATACTCATCAGTCCCCACTGACGTGCCACCTTCTAACTTCTTCCCCGTTTTAAAATTTCAAGTAGATAAATGATTATGGGTCCATTCATTTTCAGCCCATAATCTCCATTTTCCTCTTCCTTTTTGCTAAATCACTGCCTCTCCTGCTCACCCAAAACAGCAAATTCTTGGTGGGTATTCGAATATTGCTTCACCACCATCCATTCTGCTTTTAACTATGTCCCCTAGCTTCGAGAGGATCATAAGTTTAGGTGGGTTTCTTAATCAATCCAGTCTCTTATCTTCTGTTTGAAGTTCAACCATTTTAATTTCCTTGATAAAAGGGAAAATTTTAGGTGTTTAAGCTCCATAATTGACCCCCTTTCAAGGTAACGCCTGCTTCTCTTAGTACAGAATTTGTCTTCCCCGCCCCCCAAGCTTTTGTTTGTTTGTTTACTTGTCCAAATAGGTTTCTAGGGATATGTTGAGAATATTTGTCTCCACTACTGCTTAATTTACTAGTTTAAACCATCTTTTCATGGTGATTATATGTAGATTTTTGTTTTTGTTAATGTGGTGCTATCCCCCATCGGTTGGATTTTGTGTTTAATGCTTAACATGGTACTAAACCATGGTTTTGATCTGTTGTTCTTGACTATTAGCCCTTTCGATTCGGATTATACGATGTCGGTTTTAAGTAGAATGATTTGTTGGAAATCTGATGAAACTGTTGATTTTGCATGTTGTGGAACATAAGAAACTCGTTTGATGATGGAGGAGAAGATGAGCAAGGGCCTGAAAAGAATGTTGCTTGTGTTGAATTGCACAATGTTAGGCTTGGGAAACGTTGGTGGCCCTCTTATATCGAGGTTATATTTCTTGAAAGGCGGTAAGGGCGTTTGGATATCGAGCTGTTTGGAGACCGCCGGTTGGCCGTTCATGACGTTGCCCCTCACGATATCGTACTTGTATCGTCGACGAAAGGACGGTCCTGGGACCAAGGTTGTCTTCATGAAACCGCCTTTGTTTGTGGCCAGCGTTGTTCTAGGCCTTCTTACTGGCATTGATGACTTTTTGTATGCTTATGGTGTTGCTCGGCTCCCTATATCGACATCGGCTTTGATAATTTCGACACAATTGGCCTTCACCGCCGCGTTTGCGTTCCTATTGGTGAAGCCGAAGTTTACTCCTTTTACGATCAACTCGATCTTCTTGTTGACTCTCGGAGCAGTCGTTCTTGCACTCCATACGAGTTCGGATCGCCCTGCAAATGAATCCAAGCTACGGTATTTCATGGGGTTTTTCATGACTCTTGGAGCTTCCGCGCTCTACGGATTCGTGTTGCCCGCCATCGAGTTGACATACAAGAAAGCGAACCAGACCGTCACATACTCTTTGGTCATGGAGATGCAGATGGTTATGTCGTTTTCGGCTACCGTTTTCTGTTGCATCGGGATGATCTTCCACGGAGACTTCAAGGTCATCAACCGAATCGACTCAAAGGAACACCTTGTCATGTCAGCGTCTAACGATTTCGCGGTTAATTGCAGGCAATTCCAAGGGAGGCAAGCGAGTATGAGCTCGGACAAGCGACGTACTACGTGGTGCTGGTGTTGAACGCCATGTTATGGCAGATGTTCTTCATGGGAGCCGTGGGAGTGATTTTCTCGGCCTCGTCGTTGCTGTCGGGCGTAATAATCGCGGCACTGCTTCCGGTGACGGAATCGTTAGCGGTTCTGTTTTACCATGAAAAGTTCCAGGTGGAGAAAGGCGTAGCCCTCGTTTTATCTCTCTGGGGATCTCTGAATTACTTATATGGTGAGTTCGAAGAAAACAAGAAGATGGAAAAGCAAAATCAAGATTTAGAAACAGAGATAAACTAAAGCATGTTCTTATTGCATCTTATTAAACAAGTTGTTTATATATATATATATATATATATATATTGCTAAGTGCAAAAGGAGGGTTGCTAAAATAAGGTGCATAACTCAATGTTAGTCGACACTACATATATATATACATATAGTTCTTGGCTTAACACTAGCATGGGAGCAAGGTTTTGAAGAAGTAATAATCCAATCCGACAAACGTACTGTTATTCGACTAATTGAAGAAGAAGACGGTGCTATAAGCTCACGCTCTTAGTACGAACAGTCCATGATCTGCAGCAAAAAAGTTGGGCAACGACAGCTCAGTGGACGCCTCTTGAAGGAAACATGATAGTTGATGCTTTCGCCAAACTTGCTCAATCGAACTCTTTTGACATGTTGGTATTCAGCTCAGCATCCATGGAAATACTCGCTTTAACTACGAGGGATATTCATGGTCTCCTTACTTAGAGGTGTTCAATCGGTTGGTTCGGCTAACGAACCAAACCGAACTTCTAAAATTTCATTAACTAATTTTATTTTAAAAAATAATTAACCAAATCGAACAAAGTTCAGTTAATTGATCGGTTAACCGAAATTTATAAATAATATAAAATAATATATTGAATATTTTATATTTTTGGCAAATTTAGTTAAATCGGTCGGTTAATTCGATTAAAATCAAAGTTTAAACACTCTAATATATAAATAATATATATAACATATTAAATTTTTAATAATTTCGGTTAATTCGGTTAGCGACTAATTTCGAACCGAATTAAATGATAACTGAAGTTTGAAAAAATCATCAACCACTAACAAACCGATTATGTGCATAAACTATTTTTTGACATATCCAAACGTTAAGAAAAATAAAAAAATTAAAAATTCTAATATTGTAACACGTGTCATTTAACAGTGTTTTATAACGATCGTTATGACTAAGTTACCTAAATTGGTAATATTTGTAACGTTACACTTAAATGGTAACGTTTGTAACGTTACACTTAAATGGTAACGTTTGTAACGTTAGGCCCCTAGATGAGTTAAAAAAAAGTTTAGATACCTATTCGAGATTTTTGATATAATTTAGATACTTATTTTTGATATTAAGAGAAAAAAAAGCAGAATTGAATAATATATATATTTAAATCCACATTCTTTAAATAGAATAAATTTATATTATATATACAGCAATTCCATTCTTTGGCGCACTAAAGCAGTCGGTCCCAGGAGAAAATCGATTATTTTGAATTTATATGATTTGGTGAGTCGAAGAGCCGGGTGAGAATGAGTTGGACTGCGAGTCCTAAGAGAAAGCGGTTCGACGTGTTTGATTTCGCCGACGAGGACGAGAGAGTTGAGAGGGAATCCGCGGAGATTCTTGAAAGGTTTAAGAACCCTAAAGGATGCCACAAGGCTTCTTATCCTATCCACAAATACACGTTTCTTCAATTCTGTAAGTTTCTCCCTCTCTCTCGTTTTCCATCTCTTGTCAGAACCCCTCCCGGTGGTTACTCAGTTTGGTGCCCGGGAAAGTGCGAGAAAATGTCATAATATGAATTTTGATCTTGATACATGTCTAACGGCCCTTAAGGTTTTAGAGGAAAGGGAATCCTTATTATTTTGCCTCAATTTTGTTTAATATTACTCTGTTTGATGAAAATACATGTGGAAAAAGATGGTGGCTTAAAAAGGACAAACAGCAAACCACACCATAACGTAATGCATCCATTTCTTCTTATACGACCATGGATTGATTCGTTCCATTTGCTTTGGTGCCCTGCTAATTTATTTGTTAAAACGTCCTTAAATTCTGTATCTATGTAGTATTTTTATAATTAAGTATATATTTTACCTGATTACATTTTCTTTCTTCTGTAGTTGCAGGGGCAAATGAAATTAGTAAAGGTCCCATTGATCTTGAAGTCGAAGGTATGGAGTTGGTTTAGGCATAAGTCTATACATGCTTTGTTCTGTATTATTATATGGCTGCTCAATTGTTTTCTGTCTTCTTGTTCACTGGTTGCAGATTGCGACAGGACTAAGAAAACTGAAAGCAGCAGGAATCAACCAATTGAACTAGATTCTGAAGTTACAAAACCTCAATGTGGGTTGATATTGCTTTTTTTTTAATTTCCTTTTCTTCATGAGTTATAACTTTGCATAATACTTTTGTTTGATATTCGATCATGAGTTGGTTTCCTGGTATTATGTTTCCTACGTACGGCACAACATAATTCTGGAATTCCTTTTTTGTTTGTTTTGTGGTTTAGAATTATTGTCTTGACACTTCTTTCCATGGTTTATTATACGAGATCTAATGCTGATCTTTGCCTCCTTGAATTCAAAAATTGTTTCCCTGTAATTATTTGACATGCGATTGAGTTCTGTGTGGTTATACCTTTTTTTTTTTGAATTTGTAATTAACAATGGCAGCTTTCATTTCTATCGACGCATTTCTTGCATTTGTGTTGGGTGCTTTTTCCCTGTTATTTCACCTTTTCCCTGGTTGGAGTCTGGGAGAAGCAATTCAGGTTTGGGGGGGACAATTTGTACCTTCAAAGGAGAGGCAAGCTTGGCCTTCTTTTGATGCTGTTATTCCATAGCTGTTCAATGATGAATGACGTGGCAATGTGCATGTGTGTTACAGTGACATATTTGCTGTAATTGATTTAGCTTGTAGTTTCTACTTGATAGCTTTATTACTTCCTGCTCATATTGATGCTGTTAAGGAATAGGTGAAGCATGAATAAAAATGGTAGTTCTAATATTTGAGTAAGATATGATGATTAAAAGATGTGTGCATGAGAAAAGAATAAAGTTTTTAGTTATTATATTGAATTACTCATGCAATAATATTTATGTAACATCTATGCTTTCATGTTTACTTATAGTTTTACAAAGTCGCAAGGCTTCAAAAAGTGAAAAGATTGATGCACCAATTGACGTTGATGGTAAAGATATATGATATCATGTGTACATCTTCACTATCAATGTGAAGTTTCTAATGTCCATCATGTATCTTTGTAGAAGAAGAAGTGACCATGACTACACCAAAGACCCGTAGGTATGGAGTTGAAGATGTTAATGCTAGTGTTGCAGGTCCGCAATGCACACCTGCAAACTGTCCTGTGAAGAGAGAAGAGATTAATATCTCGAGTAACTCTTTGCGGTCTTTTTCTTCAAACTATGAGGTATATTGGAACCTTTTCTTCATTATCTTGACTCTTGAGCAAAATAAAAAACCATTTGAATAACTAGCTTCAGACTGCATCAAAGATTTTACTTCCAATCTAGCTTATTCTCTATGTGATGATATTTGAGGTTTCTCAGAATAAATGCTTGCAAGAAACCGTATATCGGTAACATCCCACTTTTCAATTATAATGACTGCAGAATGATCTAGTTGGTATGCTTTCAAATGATAATGGCTTGATTCAATTGAGTTCTCCATCAGCTTCTGCCTCTTCTTATATAGAGTTTGGAGGTTTTTTCCTTGTCAATTTATATTTTACTTCATAAGTTATGATACCTTCTTTCTTCAAGCGTCATGCATTGACTTGTAAACTTTTATAACATTCTGCTTTTCTCAGATTTTCCAGAGGAGCTACTTCCAGTTAATGATTCTGATGTACACGAAATTGTAAGTATAGTACTCTCTTTTGTAGTATTGACTAAGGAATTTAGGGTTTGATGGTGGTTTAGAGGGTTTGTTATTTAAATACTAATAACCTATTGATTAATATGTGTTCTCCTGCATTTAAAGTTTCAATCTCTAGTGCTTCAGGTTGCTCTCTGAAGTTCATATATATGTGGACATATGGAGTTAAATTCTTCATTAATATGATTTATTTTCTGCTTGCTATGGTGTGGGTTAAGATTTTATTAGTTTACATCTGTTTATAAAGAATAATTTGTTGATTTATTTCCATATTGTCTCCATAACCATTTTTTGTTTCACGTTGTGAAACCAGAATGGCAGAATCAATTGTTTTCAAATGTGTTATTCCACATTTTGTTAATATTTTCTTGCTAGTAAGTTGCATTTCATCTTGACTTTTTTAATTATTTATAACTTGCAGGAAAAGGAAGATGTGGAAATTACTATTTCCCCTGATTTCATAATGTATAGAGGCATGTATTGCACAGAGGGTCAATTGACTTTTTCAAAAACCTTCCTCAAATTTGAGGGCTTTAGTGTAAATGGGACCGAGGAGAAGATTAGTTTTGTTTGGGCTGTTGGTGATATCATCAGTATTGATGCAGAATGGTATCAAGAGGCGAGTTTCAACAGCTGTTCACTCTTATCTTTTTCTTCAAAGTTTTGCCAAGATACTCTGAGAAGATAATCTTGAGCTTACTATGCTGCTGGACACAGGTTGAAACAGCCATTATGAATTTTGTTCTACAATCAAAGAGTTCTAAGAGAGCTGGAAATGCAAAAGAAATTTCAGGTTAGCTAATTTTCACAAATAATGTGTATTAAACTTTTTTTGGTATAGCATGATATTTCATGTTCCGAGGGAAATTATATGAACTCCAGTTAAAATTAATGTCCAATCTGACCACGTTTGGAAAATATCACCCATCTTAGCTGTGGTACTAGCCTTACATCATAACCTCGTCTGCACTATTTCCTTTTGATGAGCCATTTTTAAGAAATTGTTAACAACCATCTTTTTCTAATAGGAGTTGTTTTAGATGCAGCTTTGATATCATTTACGGGTTATTTTTTTCCCATCGATACATTTTGAACTGGATTTTTTATTGCTGCAGTCATTGAGTCGTTGAAGTTTTCAGTTTATGATCCTTGTTGGTCTGAAAGGCAGGAAGCAATCAAATCATTGAGTGTGAGATACAGGGATTTATGGAAAGCTCTTTCTGAGTAAGTTTTCAACTGACTTGATTTCTTATCAAGTTGTTACTGTTTCTTTCAATGTAGATTTAGAGTGATGGTTGGTTTCTTGGATTAGAATATATATGCATTTGATTTTGTCTAGCCACATAGGTGTTATTTTCTCTTTACCCGTCCAGAGAAATGGTGTTTTAGTATATCATTTAGTTTGACTGTTTTGGTGTTAGTCTTATTGTATAGCTTGGATTGTAGCTCTGATAAGTATTCTCTGGCTTTCACTATGTTTTAGTCCCTCTCTTCTAGTTTAACTTGCTGTTTATGTGAATGGAATTCTGTTTTGTTTGTATCTGTGCATGGTTTAATTTCATAGATTTAACCTGTCATGTTACAGAAAAAATGAAGAGAATGCCTTCATGAGGCAGAATGACAGGTTTTCTCCAAAGCCATCTGAGTAAGTTAAAACTTTTATGTTTTTTTGGTTACCATTAGAAACAGAACCACTGATGCTAATTGGTTTCTGAATGCATTTTAATGGATTATTCGATGATTAATGATGCTCTATATCATCCTTTTTGAGGTACAAGCTCTATATTTTGCATTCTATTTGGTTTTCTTCAATTTGTTCTGCAGGCTTCATGAACATTTTGAAGAAGTTATCTATCCGAAAGGTGATCCTGATGCTATTTCAATTAGCAAGAGAGATGTTGAACTTCTTTCTCCAGAGACATTTATCAATGATACTATCATTGACTTCTATATTTTGTAAGCATGAAATGTATACTCTGTGTTCTTGGTTTTTGTCTTCATGTTCTGAATGTTAACCTATTTTATATCCTTAATGTGCTTGTCTTCAACCTTGAGGATTCATAGATAAGATATATGTGCAGATAGATAAGATATATGTGCAGTATAGTTTTGGCTTTGGAAGCATTTCTTGTGTTTATCACCATGTCTTCTTGATTCAGCCTAAGTAGTTATTCTGCATTTATGGAGTACCAACTTTTTTCTCTTTTATTTAAAAAAGTTCAACACTTTTTTCTAACAATGCCCACAAAGCCACAGTTGTAATGGTAAAGGTTGTTGTATGCTGGCACCTTGGCTAGGGTTCAAAGTTCTAACCCTGGCAACCCCCCCCCCCCCAAAAAATGTAATGATTAATATAATTTCATACTGCGATCTGGGCTTATACAATCGACAACTCAAATGATCATCTCGAGATCCATAGCTAAGTCTCTAAATTAAAATCATAATCATGATAGATGTCTAAGTGCTTTGTGGGAGTTAATGAGAAAACTTCCCTATTTCTAGTTTATGATCCCAAGCTGTTGTGTTATTTTCTGCATTTGTTCCACTTCCTGACTTGAAAGGACTGATTTTTTGTTCCGATCCATTTAACAGATATTTGAAGAACAAAATTCCACCCGAGGAGCAACATAAGTTCCACTTTTTCAATAGTTTTTTCTTTTGCAAGCTTGCTGATCTGGATAAAGGTTTATCTGATGATTGTCAAGCCAGGTCAGCATATCAACGTGTTCATAAATGGACGAGGAAGGTGGATATCTTTGAAAAGGATTATATTTTCATTCCTGTAAACTACAGGTAATAAACTCTGTTTTTGACCATGGCGTGAGAGAAAAATCTTTTACTAGCTCTCTAGTATGAGTTATTAACACATCTCTGTGACAGCCTTCATTGGAGTTTGATTGTCATCTGTCATCCTGGTGAAGTGGCTAAACTCAAAGGTAAGATTGTAATGCAGTGTCTCAGCATATCATAGCAGCTAGGATTGTCTCCACTTTAACCTTTTTCAGCTGTCTTACAGATGATGTAACTGAAAATTTGCGTAAAGTTCCTTGCATCTTGCACATGGATTCAATTAGAGGAAGCCATAGGGGCCTTAAGAACCTTTTCCAGAGGTAATTTCTTCATGATTGTTTTGATAAGTAGTTACGATGCTTTTGTTCTGTTAGCACTTAGGACAGAAAAACAAAAAATGATCCAATGTTTATATATTTCACTGTTTTATTCTACTCAATTAGCACGACCTGTGGAAATAATAGAAAGAAGTAACTTGGAAATTGTTGAACAAATGATCTGGCCTTATGTTATTTTAAGGAGGTGTGTATCACAGAAACTGTCTGCCCTGTTTGAAATAATCATACTCCGCTTTAAAATATTTGGTATTGATTATTATTTCCTTGTTTCATTTGTGAAATGACAGTTACTTATCTGAAGAGTGGAAACAAAGGCATAAATGGGCCGCAGATGATGTTCCTTCAAAAAATTTAAATTTACAATTTGTCCAACTAGAGGTATTGCTTCACCTTTTATCCTTTTGATCAGGTTCCTCCATTCCAAAAAAATGCCGTGTGTTTAAACTTGCTGATTCATCAACTGAAAGTTGTTTTGGGGTGAATTTTAAAGTCTCTGTAAGAACTTCGTTTTATTTGGGAAATCGAGCATGAGTAAAATCATAGAAATAACTGTACTTATCCATAGGCTTGTTTCTGCTGTAATGTTTGTTAGCATGTCGTGTCACCTGCTTTTATTAGAAAGTTCCAAGCTCGTGTTGCAAAACTAATTGACTGCATGTATGTATGTATTTATATTCCCCCCTCTATGATTCAGCTGCCACAACAGGAAAATTCATTTGACTGTGGCCTCTTCTTACTGCATTACGTGGAACTCTTTCTTCTTCAAGCACCAACCAGCTTCTCCCCTTCTAAGATAACAGAATCCTCCAACTTTGTAAGTACTGCCATCGTTTTCTTCAATATTTGAAACTTGCATAATGTTATTCTCTCTGCAAAAGGTATATCATTGTTTATGACTTTGCCGTTTTACTCGTTATTACTGCTTGATTGTCTCTGCTTGCTGCCAATCTAGTCTTTCTATTGCAAATAACTTAGTACTGTCGTTATCCTTGTACATTGCCTTTCTATCTTAGAAAACTCCAATCCTCCCCCTCCCCACCCCCCCCCCCAAAAAAATGTTTTTTTTTTAATTCGAAAAATGTACAGGATTTCATATTCAGCTTTTCTAATATTATCTTTGACCTTTTCAGCTTAATGCGAATTGGTTTCCTCCTGCTGAGGCTTCTTTGAAACGTGGTCGTATCAAGAAGTTAATCTACAAAATCCTGGAGGAGCAATCCCATTGTCCACTGTCAGCTGATAGCATCTATAAATACTCTTCCTCCCTTTTACCCTTCCACAGTGAGCAAGAACCAGGAGTACAAGCTATCGATCAGATTGGCAATTCAGCTGAAACATGTTATGATCATTCTGATGTTAACGATTTTGCACTCTATGCTGCATCCCCTACAACAAGTCTACAAGGCCGGAAAGACTCGGGGGAGATTTCTGATTGTTACGAGGTGGGAAATTGTAGGGGATTTAATACACACGGTCAAAGAAATGCCATGTCACCTATAGAGGTAATCTTTTGTTTCTTTATTACCGATAAGCTTAGAGCATGATATAAGATCAATTTGCTAATGAAAATAGATAACGTGTGAGTTCTCTCTCTGCTCTATCAAATGAAAAAGAATGTTGCCAATGAGATTGAGAATGCTCACGCTAATCCATATCAATCAAGTTGTCGGTCATTCTTGTGTTTTCATCTTTCCGGCTACATAATTGACTTTTAGGGGCTTACCATATAGATTAACCCTTGGTTTGTGACCGACTTAAACGAGTCATAGATTATGTTTATTCTCATATTTATGGATTCATCAAGTTCTATCAAGTCCTGCAGCTCCTTTTGCTGCTTATTATGAGGCCACCACCTTCACTGGAATAGAGTAGGTTTCCCGAGTCTTTTCTTCTACTCTGGCAGTTTTACATTATTCGATTTTGCCAACACTTCTTTGTGAGCAAAAGAGAGCGGTTGTGTGCGAGCGAAGTTGAATTCTGGTCGGCCCGTATTAGTCTTAACTTGGAAAAGTAGTACAACCTTTTCTGTTTATGGACAATTTTGGCTTGAAATAGTTGCACTTCTTTATTTCTGCTTGAAACAGGAAATAGAGGAGAGGAGTGAAGAAATTGCTGCTGATTCTCCCATAGATCTAGATGGTGACCAAGCCACTGGATCGGCAACTGAACCCCGCTTATTCAGACGGTATCCTAGCAACGATGTAAGTGTATTAAGAACATCATGGAACCAACATTCGCCATTACTTGTCGAAGATTCAGCTTTTAACATCTCGAGTAATTCTCTGCATTCATCGGAGAACTTGATGGATCTTGAGGTATCCTCCACCCATGGAGGGGAAACCATTGCAACTATATCGTCCGAGAACTCGGATGAAGATTACTCTGATTGTGTTGTTGAAGATTCTCAAGAGTCTAGTGGCATCTTAATACATGACGACATTTAGAGTACATGTTCCACCCGTACTCGAAAAATAACGTTTCCACTCTATCCCATCAACAAGCAGATCCGACTGTCAAATCCGGTTCCAATGGTCGACGGAGGAGATCACATGTTCGAAATAGATGAGCAGCCAATCACAAATGTTTCAGAGGCATAAACGACTTCTTGGTGCTGGAAAGCATGAAGCCTTTCATTTCTGATCCCATCAACAAGCGGATTCGAGTATCGTATTCTGTCCGATCGACATTTCGATACCGGTCATCGTGTATGCGAAGGTGATAAACAGTCAGTCACAAAGCTTCTTTAGGTATTGGCATCATGTAAAAAAATATCTTTTAAGCGTATAGATTCCCCCTTCGATATTAGTGACAATATATTTCATAACGCCATTAAAATAGCTTTAGTTAAATTAAATTATTTAATATTTTAAAAATGTACATTAAATTAACTTGAAATTACATGAAAAACATATAAATAAAACAATATCAACTTTCAAACTACCTTCTTTTTTCAATTTTATTAATCTTTAATTTTTTAAAAATTTCGTGGGATCTTTTGAACCAAGTTTATTTATTAAACTACTAATTTAATTTAATTATTAAATCAAAAGTGTAGAGATCAAAATTTTGAATTATAGTATAAGGACTATATTTAAAGTTTCAAAGAATATAAGGACCGAGTAGAATTAGACCCAAATAAAATATTAAATAGGGTAAATTATGAATTTAGTACTTGAAACTATTAATTTTGGTTTGTTTTAATACCTAAATTTTTAATTTTTTTCAAAATCATACCTAACTTTTAGTTTTTGTTTCATTTTAGTTTCTCGTTGTTAAAAAATTAACGGACGGACTGACAGGGGCATAGTTCTGGTGGACAGACGATCAATCCGAATGGTGGACCACAAGAGAGTGATGAGTCGACCAACATAGCCCAGTTTCAAGCCCATTTGACGGTTAATAACAGAGATTATAGGATGAAGAAATCGAAGAGTCTATCATCGATTTGAGAAAATTGAGCGTTTTTCGGTGAAGTGAAGGTCGGAATCATGTTCAGGGGATCGAAAAGGTGCAGGCAGATAAGTTTAGGTTTCATGGGCCAACGAATACGACAGCTGGTGACTATAGACACGACGACCAACGAGCTCATCCGATAAATTTTTAACGACGAGATTAAAATGAAATAAAAACGAAATGTTATATATAATTTTTTAAAAATTAAAAATTTAAATATTAAAATAGATTGAAAATAAGAATTTAAATATTAAATACATAATTTACCAAGTTAAATATATGTGTTTTAATGGATATGGATGTAGTCAAGTGTCAAGTATTAATTATAAAATATTTATTCCAAAGCAACTGAAGTCTGGAAGCAGCAAAACAAAAAACATGCTTTATCCGAGTCCAAATTGCCCACCACCCATTCCAACAATTACCCACAAAAATTTATCTTTTTGATTTCGTAGCAGAGAAAACCAACACGAAAACAGGCGGCCATTGTTAACTTACAGTGTCCTTCTCTCCTTTCAATGGCTTCAATTCGATCTCCAACGCCTCCCAGTCTAACTTTCTCGACCCACCATTTCCCTTCCTTCAAAACACCCTTCTTTTACCCTCCTTCTACCTCCAGGAGGTTCCTCCATTCGACCCTTTGCCGCTGCTCTAACGGCGATTCCGATGGCAATTCCGTTAACTGGCGATGGGACTCCGCTATTCAAGACGTTTTCCAGAATGCCGTCAAGCGATTCTATTCCTACATGAACCCTTTCTGGAAACAACCCACCGCCGATGGAGCTGCGCTGAACGACGCCGTTGAGGGGAAACGAGAAGAGGACGATCGAGATTGGGATTGGGATCGGTGGAAAATGCATTTCGAACAAGTCGATGAACAGGAACGTCTTGTTTCTCTTTTAAAGGTATTTCACGAATTTATGCCTTTTTGTTTATTGGGGTGACTTCAATTTAAAGTTTTGATGGCGTTTTCTCTTTGAACAGACGCAATTGAATGAAGCTGTGCGTAGAGAAGATTATGAGGATGCTGCTAGGTTAAAGGTTGCAATTGCAGCTGCATCTAAGAATGATACTGTTGGCAGAGTCATATCACATTTAAATGTACAAATTCGATTTCTTTTCATTTTTATTAACCCTTTTTTAAAAGAAAAAAGATGGGTTTTCCCCGTTTTTCTTTCTGACCTGTTTTCTTGCGACTTCAGAGAGCAGTAATGGAAGAACGTTTCATGGATGCTGCATTTTTAAGAGATAATGCTGGTGCTGGATTAGTATGTTAACCAACCCCTTTTTTGTGTTTCTTTAGAATGAAAGAAAAAAGTAGGCACTTTTTTTAGTGGATAAGTATAAATTGTTTAGTTTTTATGGTTCTGGATTCCAGGTTGGATGGTGGGCTGGTCTTCCAAACGATGCCAAAGATCCTTACGGTCTAATTATACGAATAACCGCCGAACATGGTAGATATGTTGCCAGGAGTTTTAGTCCTAGGTAATCACTCCCTTGTTTTGGATGTATAATTGATCATTGGTATGCTGGTCTGCGCTTGTGCTATACTATTACAGTTCAGCTCATTTGTGGAGCATTTCTTGTTTACATTTTTTTGCTGTGGCTCTAGTTTCATTATACTTCTTGCTTGTAGTTATCGGTTTGCGATTATGACTGATTGTTTCAGACTGTTTGTCTGAATCTCTTTTCTTTCAGGCAGCTCGCTACCGCCTCATCTGGTATACCTTTGTTTGAGATCTTTCTTACTATTAATAAGAAAGGTGAATACAAACAACAGGTATCTTTTGTTTCTGTTAATCTTTTCCCATGTCTGCATTGTTTCTGATGTTTGAATTGAAAATATTTTACTTGACAGCAAATTTATCTGATAAGTTGACAGAAAACCTAGGTGCTCTATAGGTATGCGCATGGGTCTAATGATTATAATTCATCTGGCATTTTGTCATGGTGATCCTTTATTGAATCGATTAAATATCTAGCCAGATGAAAGTTTGTCATCAATTGAATTGACCAATGCTTATTAGATTATGATGCAGGCCTAGTTCCGAGAGGCATTAGTTCAGTGAGCCATTAACATGATTGTTACTTGTAGCAAGCTTAAAAATGATTCTGTTCTTGGAAATGCATTTAATAATACCCTTTTGTGTTCCAGGCACCTTCCTCAGCATTTGTGATTTTAAATTTGCAGTAACGTTTAGTGTTTCATGAATGTGATCTTATTTGGTGTTTTTCAGGCCGTGTACTTGAAAAGGAGAAGAGTTTTCCAAGATTCTTCAACGATGCCTCCAAAAACTTCTGAAGTCCCCAGCCGCTTGGCTCCATCAGACTCCACCGAAGACAAAACTGATCTTTTTGTTGTCAGAACTGAAGATGGTGTTGATGAAGAAGATGATAATGAAGATGATGAATCTGATGAGGGTGAGGGACTAACTAGTTTCCAAAATGTATTACGAGATATGATTCCCGGTGCAAAGGTCAAGGTTGTGAAAGTCACTGCACCTGGGAAAGTAGACCCAGATTTTATATCCAAGGTGATTGAGCAGATAATAGACGAAGAAGATGAAGAAAAAGATACCGAGGTAGAAAGCATAGAAGTGGATGATGATATTAAGAGTGATGGTGACCAGGACAGAGATCAAATTGAGATGGATGCCGATAGTGGAGTTATTGATAGTGACAGGCGAGGTGAAATTGCAGTTAAAGTTGTTGTTGGTGGTCTTGTACAAAAACTTTCCAGCAGTGTTCCTGCAATAGAATCACTTCGAGTGCCCGCTAAACTAGTGAAAAAGGGGCGCCTAATGTTTTCATTTTCTATAGAGAAGGACATAAACCAACAAGAAACCAGCCTCAAGACAAAGGGTGTGACGGATAGAAAAGCAAAGGTTCCAGGTCAACGCAGTGCAGATGAAATAATGTTTGATCTTGCTAAATTTATCGGCAGGGAGAAGATACCTTTGAAGGTAAGTCCAATATATTAGATAAATATCTGATGAAATCATGTTCTACATACCATTTCCCGTTTAAGTTTCTTCCATTGGATGCCAACTAATTTCAACCATGCAGGTGCTCAAAGATGTTGGTGAATTGATAAATGTTACTCTCAATCAAGCTCAAAATCGTCAACCACTATCTGGATCTACAACTTTCCATCGTATTGAGACTGCAGCATCACCGGATCCCCTAAATGGTAATTTGTAACACCATTTGTTGATTTTCACTGATGCTTTTATGAAATGATCATTTATTCTCTCTCTCTCTCTCTCTCTCTCTGTGTGTGTGTGTGTAGGATACATTATGCAATTCTCTGCTTTGTATGTTTTATCATCATGATTATTCACATGTATCATAGAATTATTGTATTTACAACATGCTTGTTTGATCAGGATTATATATCGGTACACATGGGCTTTACACTTCAGAAGTCATTCATCTTAAGCGCAAATTTGGTCAGTGGCAAGGGAATAGTGGGACTAAGGAGCCTTCAGATCTTGAATTTTATGAATATGTGGAGGCGGTAAAATTAACTGGAGATCCTTATGTACCAGCAGGCCAGGTGATTTCATTATCATTATTTAATTTAACTCTCTTATGATCAGAAGCACTCTGGAGTTATCAAAGTAGGTCATTTAGTTTTGCATTGCCGAATTATGCGTGGATGTGCATGCAGCTAAGTCATTATCGTCTTTAAAGTAGTTGTACTTCCCGACCTTCCCGTGTATGTTTCTTGTTTGTGTATATGAATATCTTTGCGGTGCATCTATTTTTATTTGGTATGTCTCCTAAAACCTTGGAATATCTGCAGGTGGCATTTCGAGCCAGAGTCGGTAAAAGATATCAGCTCCCACATAATGGGATAATTCCTGAAGAATTTGGAGTGGTACATTTTTTAGTGTACACTAATAACTTGTAGAGTTTGAATTTGTGATACCCTTTGAAGTTTTCTCTTTGATGCCTGCTTCAATGATTGAGATGGTTCCATGGTCTTATTTTCAACGCAGGTTGCTCGATATAAAGGACAGGGGCGGCTTGCTGAGCCAGGCTTTCAAAATCCTCGATGGGTTGATGGCGAGCTTGTTATTCTTGATGGAAAGGTTTGTCTCTTGTTCTGTTCACATGTTTGATTCGATCACTTTTCTTGTCAAATGATTACCGATTGTCTGATATTCTGACTTGCTAATGTAAACAGTACATCAAAGGAGGTCCCGTAGTTGGATTTGTATATTGGGCCCCTGAATATCACTTCTTGGTGTTCTTCAATCGCCTAAGGCTTCATCAATAGTCTGTTGTACATAGTATCTGAGCATGTTTATTTTTCGTTCAAATAACACAGGGTAAGCACTTCCTCACCGCAAAGATATGTAAGAAACGTATCTAGTAATCACATTAATTATGGTTTGAGCGTGATAATTTTCCTAAACGCTCTAATACCTTGTTCATGTAATCTTCGTCGAGGCATGTGGCATCAAGTATAGTGTGCAAAATTGATCATGTGTCATGTTTCGTGAACTAATTTCTGTATTCAGGTCATGTTGATCGAGTAAATATCTGACTTTGCTACCTCCTTCCTGGTCCAGTCATGCTTGCTGTTCTCTTTTCGTGAAGGATAAAAGAGATTATTGAAGTTTCCATAATGTTGCTTTGGACCTCAATAAGTGGCTTCGAACTGTAGCTAAATAATAGATATTGTAGCATGCGGATATGGTTGCATAACTTACATTATACACTCGGTATATAAATGCATTGTTTTTGTGCGTGCATGACGACGTAAACAACATTATCTGCATTAATTGGATGATCCATCTCCATAGGGGAACTTGATTCACATGCTTTTAGGATGATTGTTATTCGGAACGTTGGTATCGATTTGAGCGGTTAAGAATAATCAGTGATCTTTTCTTTCCCATTTCTCTCCTAAAAATAAATATTGCGGTTATGTAACATGTAATGGTACCATTTTTGTTAGATTTCTTCGCCATTTCTGTAAATATTCTGTATTGAAAGTTCCCTTCGTTCTGTGTATTTTGCAGTTCAACATGATACTTCTCACTGAACGGTAGAGCGACAAAGAAGGGAAGAGATTCTAGCTTATATTTCAACTTCTTACCTATCGGTTTTGAGTATCGACTCCGGAGAAGTCACCGCTTTGGATATCTGACTAGTAATTATATCGTAGCATCCGATAAAGTCCGAAATTACAACCCTATTGGAATCGTCACAGCCACCATAGGTGGATAAGATCCAAATGATCATGGTTGGGAGTTAGAACTTAGGACCGGTGAAATCCAGGCTTTGGAATGGCCTTAGCTTATGAGCTTCAAAATCTCTCTGTAAATTATCTTTGTTTTTTAGTTTCTTAACTACTAAAAGAGCCCTTGAACTAATCTACTTTGTTAAACAAGTCCTTATACTCTTGTTGTATTCAAATAAGCCCTTATACTTTGAACTATTCTATATCAGAATTTCTTGCTGCAAAAAAGAGGAGACCCATAGATGCATTTTTTTTCTTCTTATAAATGAAGGGCTTAAGGTTTATCAAGACAAGGATCGAACAACTTACGCTCGAGCTTGGCTCTGCAAACAGGACAAGCCGGGTGTATTGAAAGCCATATATCGGCACATTCCAAATGAACAGGGAAAGCGCTCTAGTCGGCTGCTCAGCCTCGAGACAGACAACCCTGAAAATGATGAAGCCATATGTAGGATTCCGTTATGGCTTTGTATTGTATGCGTTAAAGGCACTCTGAAAATGATGAAGGCTCAAAATGCCGAGAATTTGTCTCGAAAAAACGGTGTTTCTCTTCATATCATCCATCTTATTGGTTTACTTAATCGTTCAGAGGCTGCATCAACTGGTGATGGTAACATCAGTTTCACTTTAACTGATTTCACCCCAAGCACGGTTGGCATAGTGTATGTATCCAATGCATCAGCATCGGGCAAAGCTATCCGGTAACAGAGGCGCGGGGGATGAACTTTATATAGCCTCCGAGTGTCTCGACACATACAAAGCCATTAAGGAATCCGACATATACAGCTTTGGCGCCATTGTTGTAGCCGAAAGGGAGGGTAAGAAATTCAAGAGAGAGCTGGTGGGAACTGTATGGGAAAGACATTTGAATTGAACATAAATAATTCAACATTTCTAAAATATAAAACGATTTTTTTTAATTCAGCTTCTTAAATATAATTAACTTTCAATTTGCTTCTCTAAAAAGAGTTCATATCCACAATTGAAAATATAATTTTCCAATCATAATCTACCCTTGAGGAAGCCGGTGCAGAGTTTTTTCCATGCCTCTTTATCAGGTTCCACTTTCCCCAGCTTTGCCTTCAACTCATCGGCATCCGAGTCCTGCATTCGGTACATACAACTTCCATCATCAACAACATCTATACAACAAGCTCGGAATCTCGACCGGATGCCCGACTTACCGCGATGAAGTTCCGTTGTCGGAGACGGTCGATGAGGTGAATAAGGATGTCTTCGACGTACTCAGGGTGACCTTGGATGCCCATCATGTGTTCCCCGTACCTAAACATCTCGACCCCGGTTCTCTCGGACCATGCAATCACCTCCGCTCTCGGCGGTAGTTCATGAACCTCGTCGCGGTGGCACTCGATAATGGAGAGAGTGGTCGGGATTTCGAGAGACGAGAAGAGCTTGGATGCAGATGGTGATAAATGAATCGTTCTGAGGCCAATGTCCCAGCCTGAGATGGCTCGTCCTGTCTTTCCTCCCAGTGCGCGACAAAGAATCTAATAATCAATTAAACAACAAAATTATATAGAAACGTACAAGTGTGCGATTGATGGGAAGAAAATCCAATTCCATGGTGAAATAAAATACAGAAAACCCCACACCTGAAGCCACCAACTAGGACAGCTTACCAGCAATTCATATTAAAAAAATATAGTAAGGCAAACTGCATGAAGAGACTGCCAACAAGCATCAGAGTTGTCGGCATTATCTCATATATATAAGGGTAGGGACGGGCACGTGACTTCAACCCAATGGATTTCGACTCAATTCGATCTCATCGAGTAAGATTTTTTTTAAAAAAGTTTCAGGTTCGGGTCATATCGAGTTTTTTAGAGATTATATTCAGGTCGGATTTAGTGTAAAAAAATATCCGACTCGACTCGAAAAATTATAATTTTACCTTATATATTTAGATATAATTGTAATAATAACCCTTTATATATTATTCTTTTCAATTAAATCTTTATTTTTATTAAATAAAAGTAATACTTTTATAATATATTATTTTAGGTCAGGTCGAGTTCGGGTTGAATGGAGGGTATATAATTTTCGGGTCAAGTTTGATTTGGGTGGATAATGTATAATTTTCGGATCAGGTCGGGTTGATCGAAAACTCAACCCATGCCCATTCTTATATATAGGTTAAGATCCGCTTACATCCTTAGTTTTACACCATTTTAGGATCGTTGGATAAGAGAAATCAAAGGCCGATCGAAAACTCTTTATTTTTTTCTAGTAAATATCTTTTCATTTCATACTGTTAATTGAAGCCTTTGATTTTTCTCATCCAACAATCCTAAAAAAATATAAAACTTTAAATTTTCACTTAACTAACCATCTTAGAAAACATAAGAAAATTTAGTAAGATTAGTCCTTCAATAAAAGTAAACAAATGAGTAAATATAGGGCAGTCAATTAAAGAAAATTTAGTAAGATTAGTCCTTTAATTATTTTTAAAATGTTTTATTATTTTTAATTTTAATATTTTTTAAAAATTAAAAAAAAGGATTAAGACATCACTGTTAACATGTAACATAATCTTAAGTTTTCACATTATTAAAAAGAATATCGTAATAAAAATATGAAAAAATAGCATATGAAATTAAAGTTCAAGTACTAATTTGAACAAAAATTATTTTGAGTATAAATCTAGAAAAAGACACTTAAATCAAATAGCAAATATATATTCAAACCTAAAAGTAATAATAAATAATAGAAAAAAATAGAAAAAAATCAAATAAATTTTTTATATTTCAGTCCAAAAAAATCAAATCGAATAAAATAAAAAATTCAATAATATGTTGAATAATATTAAAATATTATAATCCTTCATTCTATAAACCGTACATTATTAATAATGACATTTAAAAAAGAAAAAAAAACAAATATAAGTGTTTCAATGTTGAACAAAAGAATTCGTGATAAATGAATTGTTGTTATTTCTGAGAACTCGGGAATACATATTAAAAGAATATGACAATTATATTTATTTGTAATTGTTTTTAAAATTATTAATTAATTTATTGATGAATTTTCCTATTGTGGTTAATATGGTTATCTGAACCAATCGATTACAGAGTCCAGATAATATAGGATATTAATCATCCCAACTTTAATGCCATTTTTTGTATTATTTTCAAAATAATAAATGTTAATTACCTAATTTGGAGGGAATTATTGATCAAATTACCTGGTGACCAAAGCAGATCCCAAGAACTTTTTTGTTCAGTGAATCCAATTTTTTCAGTAGAGAGATCAACTTGCAGATCCAGTCGCCATTGCCGTGCGCATCATTGCAGCTCCCGGTTATGACGAAGCCGTCGAAGCGGCCGATCTGTTCGTAGTCGGGGAACTCGCCGCTGGCCACCCTGAAGACGTCCCAAGTCTCGCCTTCCTCCGCCAGCATGTCGACGAAAACGCCGTAGTAACCGCCGTACCTCTTTTTGACGTAGTCGGAATCCTCCGCGCACAGAAGCACGGCGAATCTCTTCCCGCCGCCCATTACTAAAGAATATTTCTCTCTATTTATAAATTCAGACCTTTTAGAGAGAGAATGATTCTTTCTCTCTCTATAGTCTGCAGAGTAGGGTTTTAATGAGAGAGGTATTGATGGGGAAGATGAAGAATGTATGCTTGTTGTTCTCCTCTACTTGTAAGAATCTAACGTTCGTCTGGATTTCTTATAAAGGGAGTCCAGGAGGGCAGAATTACAATAATGGCCTTGGATAAGGTGGATTGCCTAATTTGCCCTTTTCTTTTTCTGCATCTCAGATAATAATAATAAGGTAGAAAGTCATCAAATGTCTCATACTTTTAAAAAAATTAATATAGTAATCGTATTATTTTTTTCTCTGAATGTGATCCTTCAACTAAGAAAATAAACTTAACATGGTCATTTGATCAACGATTTTCGTCATTGATCGTTACAGTAATAACATGCCAGTTCACAATGCTGATGTAACAGTCCATAGTATTGACGTGACAGTCCATCTGTCATGTTTAAGTTATCAATTTAGCCAATTTCTCATGTCATACGCCGCGTTAATCTACAATCCTGAATTGTTATGTCAACACAGTGGATTGCTATGTTAACATCGTTAACTGCCACATCAACATAGTAACGGTCAACGATAAAAAATATTGATCAAAGGTCACATTAAGAGAAAAATAATATCATTATCACATTAATTTTTTTTTATAAAAGTACAAGAATCTTTAATATCTTTTTGCCTAATAATAATAGTGTAAAGTTAATTATATTACATTATTTATATTTACTTTATAGTCTATATTTATAGCTTGTAACGGTGTATAATTTAAAAGAATTCATTAACTGATATTAGTTTTAAATGAAATGTTATTCTTTTATAGGTTTCGTTTAAATGATGTGTATATTTTATCCGTCACTAAAAAAGATTTTTAAATAGATATTATTATGTAAACATTTTATATTATTAAAAAATTAAAAATAGTGATTGTTTCTTTTAATAATATTATCATAAAAGTATAAAGTTAAATTTCTTTATTCAAAGTATAGAGTGTTTTCTTATTATACCTAAAAATTATTTCTTTTAAAAAATAATTTTTAAGTAAATTTATTTTAATCATATAACATGATTTTATTTATTAAGAATATTTTTCTTAATTTCATTTTCTAGTTCAATAAGAATATTTTTCTTAATTTTACAAATTAAATTTAAAAATTGATGACATTTTTTTTAATTATACCATTTTGTTGGATTCCGTTAATGTAATTTATAATTTTCAGTGATCGTGTACGAACCAAGTGACCTCCATAATAAATGAATCACTGTTATTCTTCGAGGATTCGAATTCGAGCATTAGATGTCCGGATATAAAATCTGATTCAATATGGCAAAATACGTGTACTATTATTTTTCCATGAAGAGAAAAAGGTGGTCTAAAAACAATGTACCACAGAAAAATAAAGATGTTGTCTTCCGATTGTCATCCACGTTTTTCTTTTAAAGCATGGAAAAGTTTTCAATCAATCCCTAAAGTTTTAAAATATTTTAATTGAGTCTTTAATCTATCAACATCATTTCAAATAAGTCCTTTTCTAGTGTAGCAATTTGTTTGAGTATTAAATGTCAAGGTGAATTTAACGTAGAACTTATGTAAAACAACATAATCAAATCTTAAACATGTGTGTACATGGTATTTCTTTTTCCTAACACATCAAATATTAATCAAAGCTTAAGATGATGATTAAATAGACGAAATGACTTGGTTAAAACAATATGGCAAAAGAACATCACAAGTTCCTGTACTTTTGAAAAAAATTCAACGTGGCCCTTTGTATTATTTGTTTTTCTTAGTGTGGCCATTCAACTCAGAAAATAAACCCAATACGATCATTTAACCAACTTTTTTTGTTCTTTGACCGTTACAGTGGTGATGTGACAATTCACAGTACTAACATGATAATTCATAATGCTAACGTGACAGTCAAGGGTGACAAATTAACATTGTGGATTACATGACAGATTGATTAAATTGATAACTCAAATGTGACAGATGAACTAACATGTCAACATCGTGAACTGACACGCCAATACTCTAACAACCAACGACAAAAAATATTTGTATGAGAAAAATAAGCGAAAAAAACCCACCAAAAAAATCCATGCGGGAATGGTTTTGTCTATCTTTTCGATCAACAATTTTCCTTCTTTTTTTCAGTCGAGGCATTCAAAAAGTAAATTAAATTAAAAAGAATCCTCTTAATTTGATTTCTATAATATCTAACTCAAATTAATTGATCAATAAATTAAATAGTTTAGAATTTAAAAATAAATTTAAATGTAAAAAATGTATATTTACCCTATTGTTTTGCTGGAACCTACTTTAATGATTATTTAAACTTTAATTATTTTTTGAAGCATTTGCTTGAGAATACGATTTAGTGCCCCGCACGCATTGTTTTGGACCCGAATTATTACAAATATTTAAAGACGTAGTTAAAATTAAATATTAGTAGGGGCCGGAATATTAGATTATTTAAAAAATATATAAAGACTTATTAGGTATTTAAATTCAAAATTCGGCATGAATTAATCGACTTTAGTGATTAAGAGATTGTTGTTATTTTTGAGATCCTGAGTTCAAGCACGTATGTAGGGATATGTGCATTCATTGTCAAATAGTTGAATGGCTTTGTACACATATTACCTTGTATTCATCATAAATTAAAAAAACTCAAAACTCAAAAGACAACTTCTAATTTGTCTAATATTTAAACTTACAATGACTTAAATTGTAATTAGACCAAAAATTTTAGAACACAAACTTATCATTATTTAATTCGACCTCTACTTGATTAAATATTTAATAATTTTTTTATATTTTTAAATTTATATATTTATTTTTAGATAAACCAATATACTATTAAACTAAAATTATATAAAAAATTAAATTTTAACCGGGACCGAGGGCCCTTGGGCCTTGGGGCCTAAGGAGCTCCGTCCCAGCGAACATCTATGATTTGACCTAACAAATTTCCCCCTCGTTGGAACTTTTGAACAAAAGATTAGGTTAAGGATGCATGGTGTGGTCTCAGTCCAAAGGAAATCGAACAATAGTGCTTTGTTAGGCATATTAAAAAGTCATTACAAAATACCGACATTGGTTTAAGCGATAAGCAGTTTGATGTTATTTAAATAAGCTGAGTTCAAATTTTTGTATACATAAGAAAATCTCCGTTGGAAGATTCACTCACTAAACCTCAGTGGTGGATCCACAGTCTGGTGAGGGTGGACACGTGCCCACTCTGAAATTTAAAATTTCTTCGATTAGATACTTATTTTACTGATGGTGTCCACCCTTAAATCTTAGTTTATTTAATTAGTTATCTATTTCACTGACGGTGCTCACCCTGAAATTTTATTTGTACCAACCCCATTTAAAAGTTTTCTATTGTTAACATATGTGTGCCTACCCTTAAAATATTTCTAAACCCGTTAATTTCAAAATTATGTGTACAACCCTGATCGGTTCGAATTAATTAATTAAGACAAAACCTTAAAAATCGAGAGGGGTAACCCTCATCTAGTTTATTATAATTTTGTTTTTATGTATTTTCATGTTCTATTATTATAATATTAATATTAATGATATTTATTTTTAGAGATGTTTGTGTATCGTATCAAATTTATATATGAGATTAACATATTTTATATTTGTTTAAGCACGTTTTGATATAGACTTAATATTGTCTTTTTGAATCCGTTCATATTTATAAATGATTAACTTAAGCCTGTTTTTGACATGCCAATATTATTTTTTTAAATACTTATTTTATTTATTAATTTAATATTTATATGCAAGTTTAGTTTTATTAAATTTAGTTTCTCTTTATATACGTGAAAGCTTAATATATTTCTCTCCATATTCAGACTATAATTTAAATGGTATTATAAATTTAATTTTTAATATATATAATTTAAATAATACATATTTTTGTCTACTAAAAAAAGTACTAAATATTTTTGAAGAGTTTATTTCTGTTTGTATAGTATGATTGTTTGTATTGCATGATGTTATCTATCGTTACGATAGTTTAGTGTTTTGTGTTGCATTCATCACAACGCACCTCCTGATAAGAAAATGTCGATAGTTTCGTATAGTTAGATTCCTTTTTGCAACGGTTTATCAGTACATTCAGAATCGTTACGGAGCAATTTGTTAGATTAGTTCTTCTAATCTTCACACTTACATCATTATGACGTCTAGATTCGAATAGACCTAACAAATTTTTGATAATCTGAACCTCGAACAATTCTATTTATCTTTCTCTATCGATAATTATATTTATTTGTATTTATTTTTCTGAATTACTTGATGAATTTTTTTATACTTTTTCATATATACAAATCTATCCCATATCCTTTAAAATAATATTCAAACATGTTTGAATTCAAATTGTTTAAATTTTAAAAAATAAAAAATAGCACGAACCAATTTATCTCAGTAGTTAAAGGAATCGTTGTTGTTCTAGAGGACACGAATTCGAACACCGATGGCCGCAGTAATATATACGAGGGAAGGTGGGATATGTCAATTAGTTAATCGACATGAAATTATTGCTCTAATGTGACAAAATACAGACACTGTTTATGAGGAGCCTTTTTACATTTATTTTGGACACGTTTTGTTGTGCCTTGTTGGTTTCGTAGACATTAATTTGGTGTCGGTTTGTGGTGATTTTGGAGATCTGCGTCACCTATCACTTATGTTATCAACATTACTACAACTCTTATTTGATTTTGCTGGTGGGATGCTTGTAAAGGGACATTTTTTTCTTAGGAAGGTTAATTTAATATTAATATGGTTGAAAAACTATGATTTAATCATGAAACAAGTGATCTCGATAATAAAAAAATTATTGTTATTCTTTGAAGATTCGAGTTCGAGTACCATAGATGTCAAGAAAGTGAGCGTGTCAAATGGTTTTGAGAGTTAACTTTGAACAAATGCTACATTGTACTTACTTCAGGTTAATAAAAAAACAGGTTAATAAAAAAACGTGATTTAAAATTTGAGTTAATTGCATCATATATCCCCAAACTATTACCTTTATTTCAAATTAGTTCTTAAACTTTAAAATTTCCAATTACATCCCCAAACTATGACTCTCATTCTAAATTAGTCCTTAAACTTTTTAAAATTCCAATTTCACCCCAAACTATGAGTCTCATTCTAAATTGGTCCCCAAACTTTATAAATATTTCAATTTTATCCTAAATTATACGTGTATACTAATCACATCTCTTGTTAATAAAATCACTAGGCCAAGCTATATTATTATATGATTGAAAAAAAATAGGTTAAACTATGGTTGAAATTGACTACATATTTGGATGAAATTGGAAGATCTAAAAGTTTAGGGACTAATTTAGAATGAGACTCATAGTTTGGGGATGAAATTGGAATTTTAAAAAGTTTAAGGACTAATTTAGAATGAGAGTCATAGTTTGAGGATGTAATTGGAATTTTTAAAGTTTAAGCACTAATTTGAAATAAATGTTGTAGTTTGGGGATATATGATGCAATTAACTCAAATTTTAAATTATATTTTTTTATTAATATGGGGTAAGTAAAAGACATTATTTGTTCAAAGATAACTCTCAACCATTTGACACGCTTACTCCCTTGGCATCTATGATGCTCGAACTCGAATATTCAAAGAATAATAATAATTCCTTTATTATTGAGATCACTTGATTCGTGCTTAAATCGTATTTTTCTCAACCATATTAATATTAAATTAACCTTCCCAAGAAAAAAATGTCCCTTTACAAGCATCCCACCAGCAAAAAGGGAAAAAGGAAATTAATGCCAAATTTGGTGGTGATGTCCCATTGATCCAAGCCAGAAACCAAGATAAGTTGTCTTCGGCCTCAATGCAACGTCAAATTCCACTAACCTTGCTAGGACGGCGCAACGTGCACGATGAAACAAGGTCTTGAAATAGTAAGGGTCTCAAAAAATTAGATTTATTATTTTTATTACAATAAAAAAACAAACGAAGTATTATGGATTAGTGATAAATTTTTTTAGCCCAAAACTACAAAACCTGCGATCAAATCTTGTTAAAGTCGTATGCGAAATATCAATAATTAGTACTGTGATAAAACTATAACGCTTATCTCATTTTTTTTTGGTCTAACTCCACTTTACGAGAAATAAACTCAAGAAGATATTTAGGTCTCTATTTAAGGGTTTTTTTTTAAAAATTTACACAGAACCTCTAACGTCCTTACCCTGACCCTAATCTATTTTATGCTAAGGTCCTTTTCTCTTACTATCTAAAACCATGGTGGCCAAGGAAGCAAATAAATAACAAATTTGGCCCTCTACATGAATCGTACAGAATCTTTATATCATACAGAATCATAGTGGCTAAGGTTCTTTTTTAGGGACAAACGAGACGGAGAGGGAAGGAACGTCTTCTCTGGCATGGAATGAAGCTTCGGACATGTGTGGATATACAACCCAGAAAGAGAGGTGAGGTGTTGAAGGACATTTTTGTCGAAGTACTCAGCCACGACGTCAATTTGACACGCGTCGTTTCTAATAATTTATTCCTTAATATCAAAATAAAATAGAAAAAGATAGTATAAAGAGAGTAAAGATCGATCCCCGGAGAATAAGAAAGTTGCCGAAAATTTTGTTCTTAATTTCTGATCTGCGTGAATTGTAAAGGAAATAAAAAGGGGGAATTTATTGATAGTTTATAAAAGAAAGTAAATTTAATCTAAAGAAAGTAAAGATAAAAATTAAATTTAATCTAAAGGAAACAAAGAAGTTGATTTAAAGAAAGTGAAAATGAAAATTCTATTGGTAAAAATCAGCCTCAATTCTAACCGATCCATGAATAGAATTTTATCTTCGGTTATAGTCTACAGGGCCCAACCCCTGTAACTTGTTTTTCTCTCAATTAATCGATCATCCAAAATCAATCTTTGGATCTCAGTCTTTATGTGGACTAACCACATCAATTGTTTGTTAATCCAACTCCGTTTTAGTTTTGGGAAAACCTGGCTCGGATGTAGCGTCTCAATGAGAATCAAATCCGATTTCAGTTTCCCTTAACAGACCACCGCTAAGTGTGTTCCCAGGAAGTCGAATGTGCTACAAGTCGATCATTCCTCCCAACTGTTAATCGAAACCATAATTAATTCAACGAGCTCTTTTTGAAGTAAAAATGTTTTTGATTGTAAAAGGATGATCGATCCTTGATTCTAGGAAACTGAAAATGTAACCCGAAGGTATGAGGTACTTTTCAATTCTCACGTTTGAAATTGAGTCATCGCTTAAACCTTTAGCTTATGAAAAACTTAGCTAAACAATGTAGAAACTATACTTAGCATTTTAAAGAAAGAAAACTTGAAAAGAAAAATAAAGAAAAAAAGAAAGTAAAAAAGAAAAGTAATTTTATAAAATTAAAGAAATGAACAAGAGAAAGCGAGAGATGAGAGATATGAATTTCGGTTTACCGATGAGTATTTATAATATCCTAAAAACCTAAAATTGTAGAAATAAATTACAAAATATAACTCTTGAAAATTATGAGATAATTCTATTTTAAATTTAATCCTATAAATAAAAGATAATTCCTAAAAATAAGAGACAAATCCTAATTTAAATTTCGGATGTGCAGATGAGTCTCCTAATTCCACGAAAATGCTGATTGAATCTTCTAGAAGGTACCGACTAGGCACCACGTCAGACACATTTATGCCCTAATTCATGCCCACTAAGTCGACCTTGATTCCAGAAAAATAAAAAAGTTACATATTTCATCTATTTTAGCACAATTTGTGGAATCTACTGCCCTACATAGAAAATGAATAAAGAGGCTCATGTCAACAACTAAAATCGAATAATCAAGGAGTAAGTATCAACAAAATATTAACTAATTTAAGCTCTAATCACATATTCATGATCTTCTCCATGGAGCTGAAATTCGGTGCATAACTAACAAATTGACCAACCAAAGAGTATTGTCACTCAGATATCCCCTCTATGAAGACATCCGATGGAGGTTTCACAACAATCGAATCCTCCTGAGCAACAGGGGGAAGAAAATCAAGGGTTTGTTCATCCGAAGCCCCAAATAACTTCCTCCGATTGGCAACCTCGCTATGCAATAGACCA